AGGAGGGGAGGGCAGGAGGGGAGGGCAGGAGGGAGGGCAGGAGGGGAGGGCAGGAGGGAGGGCAGGAGGGGAGGGCAGGAGGGGAGGGCAGGAGGGGAGGGCAGGAGGGGAGGGCAGGAGGGGAGGGCAGGAGGGAGGGCAGGAGGGGAGGGCAGGAGGGGAGGGCAGGAGGGGAGGGCAGGAGGGGAGGGCAGGAGGGGAGGGCAGGAGGGGAGGGCAGGACGGGAGGGCAGGAGGGAGGGCAGGAGGGAGGGCAGGAGGGGAGGGCAGGAGGGGAGGGCAGGAGGGGAGGGCAGGAGGGGAGGGCAGGAGGGGAGGGCAGGAGGGGAGGCAGGAGGGGAGGGCAGGAGGGAGGGCAGGAGGGGAGGGCAGGAGGGGAGGGCAGGAGGGGAGGGCAGGAGGGGAGGGCAGGACGGGAGGGCAGGAGGGGAGGGCAGGAGGGGAGGGCAGGAGGGGAGGGCAGGAGGGGAGGGCAGGAGGGGAGGGCAGGAGGGGAGGGCAGGAGGGGAGGGCAGGAGGGGAGGGCAGGACGGGAGGGCAGGAGGGGAGGGCAGGAGGGGAGGGCAGGAGGGAGGGCAGGAGGGGAGGGCAGGAGGGGAGGGCAGGAGGGGAGGGCAGGAGGGAGGGCAGGAGGGGAGGGCAGGAGGGGAGAGCAGGACGGGAGGGCAGAGGGGAGAGCAGGACGGGAGGGCAGGAGGGGAGGCAGGAGGAGGGAGGGGCAGGAGGAGGGGAGGGCAGGAGGGGAGGGCAGGAGGGAGGGCAGGAGGGGAGGGCAGGAGGGGAGGGCAGGAGGGAGGGCAGGAGGGAGGGCAGGAGGGAGGGCAGGAGGGAGGGCAGGAGGGAGGGCAGGAGGGGAGGGCAGGAGGGGAGGGCAGGAGGGAGGCAGGAGGGAGGGCAGGAGGGGAGGGCAGGAGGGGAGGGCAGGAGGGGAGGGCAGGAGGGGAGGGCAGGAGGGAGGGCAGGAGGGAGGGCAGGAGGGAGGGCAGGAGGGAGGGCAGGAGGGGAGGGCAGGAGGGAGGGCAGGAGGGGAGGGCAGGAGGGGAGGGCAGGAGGGAGGGCAGGAGGGGAGGGCAGGAGGGGAGGGCAGGAGGGAGGGCAGGAGGGGAGGGCAGGAGGGGAGGGCAGGAGGGGAGGGCAGGAGGGGAGGGCAGGAGGGAGGGCAGGAGGGGAGGGCAGGAGGGGAGGGCAGGAGGGGAGGGCAGGAGCAGGAGGGAGGGCAGGAGGGGAGGGCAGGAGGGGAGGGCAGGAGGGGAGGGCAGGAGGGAGGGCAGGAGGGGAGGGCAGGAGGGGAGGGCAGGAGGGGAGGGCAGGAGGGGAGGGCAGGAGGGGAGGGCAGGAGGGAGGGCAGGAGGGGAGGGCAGGAGGGAGGGCAGGAGGGAGGGCAGGAGGGGAGGGCAGGAGGGGAGGGCAGGAGGGGAGGGCAGGAGGGGAGGGCAGGAGGGGAGGGCAGGAGGGAGGGCAGGAGGGGAGGGCAGGAGGGAGGGCAGGAGGGGAGGGCAGGAGGGAGGGCAGGAGGGGAGGGCAGGAGGGAGGGCAGGAGGGGAGGGCAGGAGGGAGGGCAGGAGGGGAGGGCAGGAGGGGAGGGCAGGAGGGGAGGGCAGGAGGGGAGGGCAGGAGGGGAGGGCAGGAGGGAGGGCAGGAGGGGAGGGCAGGAGGGGAGGGCAGGAGGGGAGGGCAGGAGGGGAGGCACCTGAGGGCCACGCGGTACATCTGGCCGAGCTTCTCCAGCTCTGCCAACACACAGTCCGTTATGCATGGCGTGCCTGCGATGCATGCATGCATGCACAGCCGCACACATGCACACAGGCGCACAGCCGCACACATGCACGCGCACACAGTGGGAGGGATCTAGTTAGTATGCAGTGCACACCAAGTATGCAGAAATGTGCACACAGGGTAGTGGCGTTCAACGAGGGGCGGGGATGAGCAATCGAGGTTGAAACGCGGATGGACGGACGACGTAAGGAACTCAAACGAGTGCATGCGTGCAACGATTGAGCCACAAGAGAGTCAGATGTGGCATGGCAGGCCGGGTTTGGAGGCCATGGGAAAGAATGGAAGACCATGCGACATCAGAATATATCATCACGAATCATGAGAGATCATGGACGATTGTGGAACTCATAGGCCATCATGGAAGATCATGGGAGAAATCATTATATATGACGACAAATCACGGGACATCACGGGCGAAGTGGCTGAACACAATGGGCGGAGTGACAGACATTTGGCATAGAGGCAGTCCATCATGGCCTTCTCCAGATCCAGCTGCTCGTGCGAGTGAGTGACCAGCAGGGCATGGTGGCACCACACCACCAACCAACGCGGACCAACCGCACCGGCGCAAGGAGAGCACATGTAGCAACAGCAGAGCGAACGCACGGAGAGAAAGAGGGGGCAGTGAGGGCGGGTACGGAAGGAGACAGTTGGGTGACGAGAAGGCTATGCATGGGCTGGACGCATGTGAGTGGTAGAAAGAGGAATGAGCAATGCAGCAATGGAAGCATTGGCAGAAGCAAACGCGGCGGTGCAAGGACAACAGCTGAGGGGTGCTCAACTCCAAGTGTAACATGGCGAGGTGAGGCGGGATAGGCGTTTGGAGGGGCGGGGGCATGCGGGGGAGGCAGTGGGACTCATGAGGGGAGTGGGAAAGGCATGTAATGGCGAGAGATGGGGGCGGAGCGAACCTTGTTGGAGATGGAGAAGTTGATGAAGTTGGTATCCACGAGCACCTGGTAGGGCGGACCCAGCGCCGTGTTGTGCTTGAAGAAGAGCGCTGATGACACGTTGGGACTGCACCGTCACACATGCACCATGCCACGTGCACCATGCCACATGCACCATGCCACATGCACCATGCCACGTGCACCATGCCACATGCACCATGCCACATGCACCATGCCACATGCACCATGCCACGTGCACCATGCCACATGCACCATGCCACATGCACCATGCCACATGCACCATGCCACGTGCACCATGCCACATGCACCATGCCACATGCACCATGCCACATGCACCATGCCACGTGCACCATGCCACATGCACCATGCCACATGCACCATGCCACATGCACCATGCCACATGCACCATGCCACATGCACCATGCCACGTGCACCATGCCACATGCACCATGCCACATGCACCATGCCACATGCACCATGCCACATGCACCATGCCTCATGCCACATGATGCCGTATGATACCACACGTCGGATGCCATATGCCACACGCACATCACACCACACACCATGATGTCACCATGCGTCCCCCGCCAGCCACAACTCGCACGCCACACACACACCACATATCAGAGGCCATATGCCACGCCGCAGCGTCACATGCCACACGCCACGCGCATGCGAGGGGAGCCGGAGGAACACAGTCATGCGAGAAGCAAAGGAAGCAAGACGAGATAGATAGAGGGAGATTGTGAGAGGTGCAGGCTAGTGAGATGAAGTGTGCGGATGTATATGTGTGAGCACGAAAAAGACCGAAAGAGAGAGCAAGATCACACGAGTTGGGGTTTCGGGGTCTAGGGTTTATGCGCCATGATCAGCCACACCTCAGATGCTGGGTTTTTTGGTGCAAGAAAATTATAAGAATTTTCACAGCAGGACTCACACATTGCGTGGAAGCTTGTCCTTCTCGCTGTCTGGTTTCTTGGGGTCCAACACGTCCTGGCGATACCTGCCCACCGCACAGCACCGCACGGCACACAAGCACACACACGCATGTGCATCATGCACACGGTGAATCTTGAGTCGACTCTAAGGCCGCACACACAGCACGCGCGCACACACGCATGTGCGTCACTCGAAACCCCTTGCCAGGCTTGCACCTTATCCCCGTCAAATCTTCGGCAGGGTTTACCACGCATAAGGGTTTATCTCCCGTTTCTGTCAGAATGTATCCCCATCGTTTTTAAGCCAATTCTCCCTCTCACTCCCGTGAAATCGTTCAGTGACGTCCTATGCCTCTGCGTGTCGACATCACCGCCCGCCTCTCACCAACTTTAACAGGTCTCCCAAACGACGGGCATTTGACGTCCACCAGTATCAGGGAGCAGACAATTGAACGACGCGCGTCGATCGCTACGCGAATACGGCTGGCAAGATCCGCTGCACGAATCGAGACGGCTTGGCAGGAGGAACGCAGAGAGTGTAACTCACTGTTTTATCTCCTTTGGGTTGATTAGCCTTTTCACCTCTGCGTACTTCCGGGCCTTACGTGCTCTCCCCATTTCGGTTCCCAATTACGAATAACAGATGGGATGCTGAACTGAACGTCGTAAAGACAATCAAATCCGAGATGTATGGGTGACGACTAGCGCCATTCCAGAAAGCCACAGTGACTAAACGTGTGTGTGCAAAATGCAGTGGCAAAGCAAGTCTGCAACGACTTGACATTGATGGACCTTGACGGGCTGACGGATGCAGTGTGGGTTTTCCCCACCAGAAGTCCCAAGGGTTTCGAAATTAGCCGTGGTAACGGTTGTCGCGAGTTTTGCGGAGACTCGCAAATGCTTCCGGCACCCGAACACTCTTTAAGATCCAACTCACAAATATTCATACGGGCTCTACAAGATTTTCACGCTTGTAATAAACCCATACCCCGACATTTCCAGGGTTAAGAGTAAAAACCAGGGTCTTGTATCCGATGGAAATGCATGGTACCAGCTCAACTAGGGATGACAGGATGACCATGTTGAACCGTCAAGCCACATGTCTGACTTTAAGACGTCAGCGGGCTTGATGATTGTACTTGGTACCGTTGATGCTTTCAAAATCAGAGGCACCTTGCTCAAACAAGTGCGCAATGGCAGTGCTTAAATAGCCCAGGCCTTAGTCTTTTGGATTCTAAGTCCCATTTCATGGTTTCCAATAACAGAAGCTATGGTGATCTACTTTCCAAAGCCTAGGCAGTAGTTTTAAACAGGCATTAGTCTGGGTTTCCTCTGCCCATCCTACACGTTTGTATGTCACAGTGACTCAGGCTCAGACTCTGGTTTGCACGGACGCTGCCAGCTCCTCCAGCATCTCCTTCTGCTCCATGGCCACCATGGACTGGCGGGAAAGAGGGGGAGAGGGAAGCGGGTGGGGAAAGGGGGGACGAGGTGAAGAGGGTGGAATGGCATGGCAGCAGAAAGGCTTAGTCAGAGGGAAGGTCCTTTAACACCTTCTGATCAATTGGCACCATGGACTGGTGGGTGTGATGGGGAGTGGGAGAGGGTGGAGATTCAGAGACCGCAGAGAAACGCGATCAGAAAAATAATCCTTCACGGAAGGTGCACTATGGAATCGGTATCTCCTCTGTAGAGAAGCTTTAAGAATTCTAAAAAATATTCTCAAGGTTCTCCTTTGCCCATGAGAGTGGTATTATGGACTGGTAGGAGGGGATGGGGGATAGGGGGAGGGGGACGGGCCTGGGAGGACATGAGAACCATTTCTTCTAACCGTTGAAATGGCTAAGGAAAGGACAGAAAGGGGAGGCTGGAACATGAGCAATCGGAAAAAACAGCACGCATTGAGTGCAGGCAAAAACGTATGTCAATACTGTAAGTTGGGAAGGGAGGGACGAGCTCGATTGAAGCAACAGAAGCACTGTGGCAACACATCAGCCTTACATGCGAATGCAGTGTGCGTCCAACATGGATGACGTTGTTAGCCTAACATCTGACGACTTACAACCAGCAGTCCTCACCTGGATGGCGTTGTCTGTCCTCACCTGGATGGCGTTGTCTGTCCTCACCTGGATGGCGTTGTCTGTCCTCACCTGGATGGGGTTGTCTGTCCTCACCTGGATGGGGTTGTCTGTCCTCACCTGGATGGGGTTGTCTGTCCTCACCTGGATGGCGTTGTCTGTCCTCACCTGGATGGCGTTGTCTGTCCTCACCTGGATGGCGCTGTCTGTCCTCACTGGATGGGGTTGTCTGTCCTCACCTGGATGGCGTTGTCTGTCCTCACCTGGATGGCGTTGTCTGTCCTCACCTGGATGGCGCTGTCTGTCCTCACCTGGATGGCGTTGTCTGTCCTCACCTGGATGGCGTTGTCTGTCCTCACCTGGATGGCGTTGTCTGTCCTCACCTGGAAGGCGTTGTCTGTCCTCACCTGGATGGCGCTGAGCGTCCTCACCTGGATGGCGTTGTCTGTCCTCACCTGAATGGCGTTGTCAATATCGCCGTTGAGGAAAGAGCCGAGATCATAGTTGATCTTGGTGCGATGGTCCGACACACGGTTGTCCTGATGTGGGGGGAGAGGGGGGGGGGGGGGGGGGATGGTGGGGCGGGGGGTGTGTGGAGGTGTTACAAGAGATGTGGAGACATGGAATGGAAGGCCTGGCTACACATGCAGCACATGGAGTTGAACTTGGTGCGATCATCCGACACACGGTTGTCCTGAAGATGTGAGGGGAGGGGGAGGGGGGGTTGTCCTGATCATGCACATGAGAGTTGATCTTGGTGCAATATGAAACTCTTGGCTCGTTTTGGAAGCAACGCGCTTTGAACATCACTGGTAGCTGTACGTTCACACCTCGTTTTGTACCATTGGCAAGCCCACCTCATTGCCCACATCACATGCCCACCTTGTAGTTGTACGTTCGAATCTTCTCAGAACGTGAGCCCGTGCCGACCTGCAGAGGAACAGGCGAGATGGGAAAATGGAAGGGAAAGGCACAACAGGCCATTGGGTTACGTGTTTTTCAGTCTTTGAAAAAAAGCGATGGGTGCGGATGGGTGAGCAGTATTCAGGCGCCTGAAAAAAGAAAGATGCTTGGGGTGGGGGTGGGAGAGGACTTGAGGGTGAGGGTGTGCGCGCTGACAAAGGGTGATGAGGGGGGGTGAGGAGGAATGGGGCGAGGAGAAGTGCATAGAGATGGAGATGCCAGAGGCCCACGGAAAGAACTCGTGCCACATTATACCACAGAAACTCACCTGCGATCGCCTGCGAGAGCTGACTTCGTCCTGTTGCTCCTGCAGCATGCGCTCATAGCTGTGAGGGAGTGGGTGGGGTTGAGAGAGGAGAGAACAGAGGGGAGACATTGAGTGAGAATAGATGACAAGAGAGCGTGCCATGGTGACCGTGCCGCTGACTAGATTCATCTTCTTGCTCCACCAGACCCTCCTTTGACATCTCCCCGTTTTCCCACCTGTTCTCCCCATCTCCAGCCATCTCCGCTCATAGCTTGGCACGCAGCAGCTGCATGTGGCGGATCTTGTTCTTCAGCTGCGAGCGCTCCTCTCTTCACCGTCCATTCCAGACCCCTCTCCCCCCCTCTTTCTCGCACCCCCCATCTCCCCTTACACCCCCATCCCCCACGCTCCCTCCACTCACAGCTTGGCGCGCAGCAGCTGCATGGCGCGGATCTTGTTCTTCAGCTGCGAGCGCTCCTCTATTCACCATTCCTTCCCCTGCTCCATTCCAGACCCCTCCCACCCCTCTTTGTCACACCCCCCATCTCCCCTCACCCCCCCCTGCTTCCTCCACTCACAGCTTGGCGCGCAGCAGGTGCATGGCGCAGATCTTGTTCTTCAGCTGCGAGCCACCTTCTATTGCACCCTTCCCCCGCTTGGTTCCACACCTCACCACCGCCCCCTTCCACTCCCCCCCCCCCCCCCGCCCCCCTGCCCTCCACTCACAGCTTGGCGCGCAGCAGCTGCATGGCGCGGATCTTGTTCTTGAGCTGCGAGCGCTCCTCCGTGCAGAAGATGCGGATGCCCGTGGGCTTGTGGAACAGGTCCGCCGCCGTCTCCACCTTGTTCACGTTCTGCCCGCCCGCCCCGCCCGACCGTGCTGTCGTGAGCTCTATGTCCTTAGGGTCGATCACCACTTCTACCTCGTCTATCTGCGTGTGTGAGGGGGGGTGTGGGGAAGAAGCGCGTGGGAAAGGAAACAAGGAGCGAGGCAGAGAGTGCTGTGCTGTGGTGAGATCGATGTCCTTGGTGTCTATCACCACCTCCACCTCGTCTATCTGCGTGAGGGGGGGTGTGGGGAGAGGGGCATGGGTGTGAGGGGTGGAGTGATGACTGTTGGAGTGAGTCGTTTGATGTCCTTGGGGTCTATCACCACCTCCACCTCACCTATCTGCGCACATGAGGGAGAGGGAAACCTTGGCAACGGTGGCAGAGGAGGTACGCACGCTGTCTTGACTCAGTAACCAGCACACGCTGCACACCGCTCTTGTTGCCTGCTGCCCTAACGACATTCCTCCCCTCCCCAGCCAGCCACCCCTCTCACCTCTCTCTCCTGCCTCACCTCAGGCATGATGGTAACGGCGACAGTGGAGATGTGCACTCTGCTTGCGACTCTGTGCCTGCCTGCTCCCCTCCCCACTTTCTCCCCTTCTCTCCCGTCCCATTTCCACCCACCCACCTCAGGCATGATGGCGACGGTGGCAGTGGAGGTATGCACCCTGCTGGCTGACTCAACGGCCGGAACGCGCTGCACGCGATGCACACCACTCTCATACTTGACCTTGCTGTACACGCGCTCACTCAACCTCCCCTTTTTGAGGCGAGAACTCAAGTACGAGACAGACCAACTCTCGTACTTGAGCTTGCTTGTTGTACAAGTGCTCGCCCTCCCGCTTTCCACCCTCTCACCTCGTCCATAATGCCAGCAGCAGTGCAGGTGTGGTGTGCACCCTGCCTGCTGACTCTGTGCCTGCCTGCTCCCCTCCCCACTTTCTCCCTTTACCCCCTTTTCCCCATTCCCTCCTCCTTCCTCTCTCCCCTTTCCACTCACCTCAGGCATAATGGCAACGGTAGCAGTGGAGGTGTGCACTCGGCCGGCGGACTCAGTGGCGGGCACGCGCTGCACGCGGTGCACACCACTCTCGTACTTGAGCTTGCTGTACACACGCTCTCCTGCTATCTCCATCACGTATTCCTTAAAGCCCCCCATCTCCGCCTGTGCACACATGGGATGAGAGAGGTCGGGCGGGACGAGAGGGGAGATGGAGCACGGTGTGTGCGTGTAGGGTCTCTCTGCACTCCCGTGCTTCACTTGAGCTTGCTGCTCCCACGCTCACTTCCTGGCTGGCTATCTCCATCACGTACTCCTTGAACCCCCCCATCTCCGCCTGTAGGGGAAGGGCGGGGGGACGGGCAGTGAAGCGGGGAGGAGATGGAGCAACATGCAAGGCCTCTCTCTCCACTCCCATGCTTGACTAGAGCTTCAAGTACACGCGCTCGCCCGCTATCTCCAATGTGACTTTTGAGTCGACTCAAAGGTCACCTTGCTTGCTGTACACACCTCTCCCGCTATCTCCATCGCGTATGCAAACCGAAGCGATGCAAGACGAAGCAGGTAATCTTGATTTGAAGGTACCCGCTTAGAACAAAATACGCCCTCTCGCCCCCTCTCACTCATCCTCTCCTCACTCTCTCACTGACCCCCTCACCCCCTCCCTCGCTCATGCCCTCACTTCCTCCCTTGCTCACCCCCTAACTCCCCCCCTCACTCACTCCATCACTCTCCCCTCCCACACTCCCCTCCCACTCCCTCACGGACCTCAGTGCAGGAAACAGGGGACACGCGCCACCCGTTCTTGTCAGCGTAGCGACCGTACATCTTCACCTGGTGGAGAGCGGTGCAGATGGGTGCCCAAGGAGCAACATAATGAGGGTGAAAAGCAAGAACTGTCAACTAAATTTGACGCACATCACATATGAGAAATAAGAGCAGAGCAGTGCGGTGCAGCGCGGTGCAGTGCAGTCCAGTGAACTGCAGGGCAGAGCCGGGAAGGGATACGTTCTATTCCACAGTAGTATGCAAGGCTTGCTGCTGTTGTGGGTCAGGTGGGGAACGAGTGCATCGTGAACGCCGGTCAATGCCAGTCAACGCCGGTCAACACAGCCACAGCAGGAAACGTCAACACGAGTGGGTGCGGTGCGAGGATGCACTCACCAGGTCGCCTGCCCAGATGCCCGCCTCATCCCCTCCTGTGCCCGCCCGCACTGTGGTGAGGGACAGACAGAAGGGGGGGAGCAGGAGGAGGGCAGGGGGAGGAGGGCAGGGGGAGGAGGGCAGGGGGAGGAGGGCAGGGGGAGGAGGGCAAGAGTGGAGTATGGAAAACAGGACCAACACACCTGACCCAACACCTCCAACAAACCCCCCACCTCCCAGCACACACACACACACCTTTTTGAAAGAATCTCAAGTGTTGTCTTGATTAGAAAGAGTGTCGGTACATATAGGAGATGAGAAGTTTTGGGAACGAAGTGGGGTACCCTCAGCATTTATTGGTGGACCAATCAGATTGGGTCGACCAACAATTGCTGGGGTAACCAACAATCGTTGGAGGGGACCATTATTGGGCCCCCCCCGTCAATTGCGGTCGAGTTGGGTTTGGGGGCGCCCAACCAAAATTGGTTGGGTCGCCTTGACCCAAAGTGTACACCCACTTTAGGGTGTAACACATGCACAAATATAAACATACATTATGCTATATTCTAACACAACCCCGTAGCATAAGAGGTTTATAAGTGTGCACAACCCCGGAATCATGAAGCCGGGGAGAGGCCAAGAAGGCGAAGGAAGGCCCGGTGGGCTAGCTTCGGAAGAGCTTTGGTGAAGATGTAAGCGAGGTTGGCTTCGGCGGCAATTTTTCGGACGGCAAGATGGCCTTGCTGGACAAGATCGCGAATGTAGAAATAGCGTAGTTCGATGTGTTTGGAGCGCCCGTGGAAGACCGGATTCTTGGTGAGGTGGATCGTGCTGGCGTTGTCGCACCAGAGCGTGGGGCATGGCTGGGGGGCCCCAAGCTCGGCTAGCAAGAAGGAAAGCCAGCGTCCTTCCTGCGCAGCCATGGTACCAGCATAGAGTTCGGCTTCACAAGATGAGAGGGCGATGGCGGAGGAGCGGGTGGAGCGCCAGCTGACCAAGCCGCTACCGAGCGTGAAGCCATATCCTTGGGAAGAGCGGCGATCCGGCTGAGAGTCTGCCCAAGACGAGTCACTGAAGCCGGTGAGGAGCGGGGGAGAGGCACCACCAAGGGTGAGAACATGGTCCTGAGTGCCACGGAGGTAGCGTAGGACTCGTTTGGCGGCTCTCCAATGCACGGAGGTGTGACGACCGGTACCGACGAAACGCGCCAGGACGCTGATGGGGTAGGCGAGGTCGGGACGGGTCCCCATCATGGCATACATGATGGAGCCAACCAGTTCCGCATAGGGCTGAGTGGAGGCGGAGGGGGAGGTGGGTGGAGCAAGCCCATGGCCGAATGGAAGGGGAGCGGCCACTGGGTTGGCGAGAGCCATGTCGAACCGCTCCAACACCTGCTGAAGATAGTGAGATTGAGATAAGGTGATGGTGCGGGCAGCTCGATCGCGTGTGATCTCCATGCCCAAGTAGTGGCGTAATTCGCCAAGGTCCTTGCACTGGAGACGAGCTTGTAGTTCTTCCTTAACGTCGGTCATGTCGGCGGAGGTGTCGGCGAGGAGCACCATGTCGTCAACATAGACTAGGACGAAGAAGCGGCTGGGAGTGTAGATGCCAGCTTAGCATGCCATTCCCGAGGAGCCTGCTTCAGGCCGTAGACTGGACGGCGTAGTTCCCAGACAGTGTCTGGTGGGAAGGCTTCATGGAAGCCATCTGGGCGGTCGAGGAAGATTTGTTCGTGGAGGTTCCCTTGAAGAAAAGCGTTAGAGACATCCATTGATGAGATCTCCATGCCGTTGCGGGAGCCAAAGTCGAGAAGCGTGCGAAGGGTCCCGAATTTTGCGGTAGGTGAGAAGGTTTCCCAAAAGTCCTTGGCATAGGTCTGTGTGAAGCCCTTGGCGCAGTAACGGGCTTTGTAGACGGGCTCCTCCCCCGGAAGCTGCTTCACCCGGAAGACCCACTTGCCAGCGACAATGTTGGCATCTGGAGGCGGCTTGACATCGACGAAGGAATCATTGCGAATGAAGGCGTCGCACTCCTTGCGAATGGCCTCCAGCCATTTGTCAGCGTCAGGGCACGTGATTGCCTCCTGGAATGTGGTAGGCGTGAAGATGAGAGGTGAGGAGGGAGTGCCAAGTACAACCGCGCCCAAAAGGGCAAGGTACACAGGGTTAAGGGAAGGAACGTGAGTGTGAATGGCACAAAACTCCTCATGGGAGTCTTCATGAATGAGAGGTGGTTGACCAAGAATGGGGTCAAGGGAGCGAGTGTGCATGCGTGGGAGGAGGAAGGGAGAGCGTGAGGTGAGAGAAGTGCGAGGACGTGGGGAGGATGCAGGAGGTGCGGCGGGCGAGGATGGAGGAGGAGAAGCTGGAGGGAGGTGGGTGGGAGGGGAGGGAGGAGGGGGAGAGGGAGGAGGGGGAGCGGTGGAAAGGGCAGGTGAGGCAGCAAGATCATAGATATCAGCCGAGGAAGGTGGAGGTGAGAGTGGAGTAGTTGGGAGGAGTGGAGCAGATGGGAGGAGAGGAGGAAGAAGGGCATCCGCCCAGGTGAGTGGGCGGGAGGGTGGGGGGAGAGGGTCGGAGGGAGGAGGAGAGGAGTAGTAGGGGATGGTTTCATCGAAGACGACATCGCGGCTGCGAATGAGGCGTCCGGAGGGAGGATGAAGGAAGAGGTACCCAGGAGAGCCACGATTGTGGCCGAGGTAGACGCACTCCAATGCTTTGGAGGCAAGTTTTCCTGCTTTGCGGGAACGGTCTGCGGGAGGAATGAGAACAAAGGATTTGCAGCCCCAGACGCGAAGGACGGAGGCATCAGGTTTGGAGTTGCACCAAAGCTCAGTGGGAGTGAGGTTGGGATGGTGGGGGTGAGGGTAGAGGTTGGTGAGAAGGGCGGCATGAGTGAGAGCATAGCCCCAAAGGGAGGGAGGGGTAGATGCATGGGTGAGGAGACAGCGGGCAGTTTTGGTGATCTCACGGATGCGACTTTCAGCTACACCGTTTTGTTGCGGAGAATGAGGGAGAGTGGACGTCTGTTGAGTGCCATGTGCTTTGCAGTAGGAGGCAATGGTATGGTTGAGAAACTCCCCGCCACCGTCAGAGTGAAGGCGACGGATGGGTCGGCCGAAGTGCACGCGCGCTTGTTCGGCCCAGGCGATGATGACAGCGGCTGCTTCAGCTTTCGTGTGGAGTAGAAACACAGAGGAGTAGCGGCTATGGTCGTCTACGAGGACGAGCATAAAGCGGTGGCCCTGGCAGGAAGGGGAGGGGGAGGGACCCCAGAGGTCCATGTGGACGAGATCTAGGGGAGCAGTAGCAAATGAGGGATGGCTGTGATGGGGTTTTTGTTTGAGTTTGCCATGAATGCAAGTGGGACAAGGAGGAGCTGGTGAGGTGGGTAGGGGAGGAAGGGCAGGGGGGAGCCCATGAAGGAGGCGAGAGGATATTGCGGCACGGAGGGTGGTGAAGTTGGGGTGACCAAGACGACGATGGAGGAGAATGGCGGGGTGAGAGAGGGAGAGGTCGGGAGAGGTAGAGGGAGTGGGAGATGATGAAGGGGGAGGAGCAATGGTGGGAGAAGGGTAGGTGGAGCGACGGGTGGTGAGATGACATGATGCCGGAAAAGGGAGACGTAGTGTGTAAAGGTGAGTGCGGGGGCAGATTGGGAGGCGATAGACAAGGCGGCCAGTGGAGGTATGAATGAGATCGCAATAGGAAAAGTGGGCAGGAAAAAATGGCGGTAATGCCGGCTTTTTGGAGATCATGAAGAGAAATAAGGTTGTGACGAAGAGTGGGAATGTGGAGGCCAGTGATAGTGCCGGAGGGAAAGAGGGGACACGGAAGAGTAGAGGAGTGTGTGCATGGGATCGAGAAGCTAGAATCAGCGCCATGAACAGTGGAGGGGAGAGATAGTGTTTTGAGAATGCCAGCGTCCTTCAGGGCACTGACGGTGGCCCCGCTATCGAGGACAAAGTCCAAGGTGAGCGGGGAAGGAGACGCAGAATACTGGAAGTCACTGTTATTAAGAACAGAGGGATACATGGAGGTGGTGCTAGGCAAGGGAGAAGCTAGCTGACCAAGAAAGCTAGAGTATGACTCAGCTGGGGAGGTATGGGCGGCGGTGGCGGCAGAACCGAAGCCAAGAGGTTGCTGCTGCCAGGCGGCAGTTGCTGCTGCTGCTGCTGCTGCTGCTGCTGCCGCTGCCGCTGCCGCTGCTGTGGCGGCTGCGCCTCCCCCACCTCCCCAGGGCGGCTGCTGTGGCTGCTGGTGCGGCTGCGGCTGTGGGGGCAGCTGCGGGGGCTGCTGCAACTGCTGTGACTGAAGATGCTGCAAAAACTGCTGGAGTTGCAGTTGAGGAGAGGGAGTGGTGAGGTTAAGGTGGGAGGGTTGATAGAGAGGGAGATGTTGAACATCATGGACAGTGGGACGACTTGCAAGAGCGGACCAGCGGGGGGGGGTACCATGGTTACCACGATCAAACCAGGCATCGTCCAAGACGCCGAAGCAGGTGGTTATGGGGTGGTTGGTTTGACCGCAGGGTTCCCCAGCGCGAGGGCCGTGACGGCGAACGTAGGGGCAGGGGGGGAGTTGACCAGGTCCGCTACCACCACGTCCACTTCCTCCAGGGCCGCCCGTGCCAGAAGGAGTGCGTCCACCAAAGGTGCCACCACGTCCACCACCACGGCCGCCACCACGCCCACCTCCACGTCCGCCACCGCGACCACCACCACGCCCACCACCGCGTGTCTGGGTGGCGTTGAGTTCTGGCGCGGGTGCTTGAGCCGTGTTGAGAGAAGGCGGGTTGGTACGAAGGAGGCGGGTTTCGGTGTCAATGATCCATTGAACGACAGCAGCAACATCCGCAAACGGCTGATTTTCGCGGAAGGCAATGACGTGCATGTCGTAGGACGGGTTGAGACCGCGGAGAAGGCGATCTATCTGGATGAACTGGGGGAGTTCGGACTGGCGAGCCTTAAGTCGCTTGGCGAGAGAGGTCATGCGGCCGGTGTAGGCGACGGCACCAGTGCAGGTTGCGAGCGTTGTCTCCCAGTATTCGTCAAGGAGCAGCCCCACGGAGTTGACGTCATGGCGCTCAAACATGGCGTGAAGGGAGGCCCAAAGGGCAGGTGCGGGAAGCTCTTGTTCCTGAAAGTCTCGCATTAGAGCGGGGGGGAGACCACCAAGGATAATATTAGAGGCAGAAAGGTCAGATTCCTTCCAAGCAGCAGCTTTAGCGGTATATTCAGCGAGCGCGAGAGTGTAGCGGTCAGCCATGGTGCGGTGATTTATTATGGCAGCTTGGCGCATGTCGTATTGCTCGCGAGCCGCACGATGGTCCGCTCGGAGCGTGAGGAACCGACGCCGCTCGAGATCGTAGGCTGCTTCATCAGCGGCTTGGCGAACAGGATCCGTGGAGGCAGCGGGCAGATCTGGTTCGTCAGGTTCAGGTCCAGGGTCAGGCGGGAGAGTGGGGGCCGATCCAGGGGACATAGGGGGCGTTGGCGGGAGAGCGGCAGCATGGCGGAGGACAAGGTCGAGGAGGGTGGAGGAGGTGTTGGGGATGTGGATGACGCCGAGGAGGCGGCGCATGCTCCCTGTGTAGGAGTACCAGTTGATAGCGCTCTGATCGGGAGCGAGCTCGAGCCGATCAATGGAGAGAGTGTTGAAATTCTGAGGAAGAGAAGGAGCAGCCATAGCAGTAAGTTAGTGCGATGTGAGGGGAGAAAAAATGTTAGTAGCGAGCGAAAGCGAGGCAGGTTAGAAGCTGAGGGAGAGGAGGAGGGGGGTTAGTAGCAGCACGTGGGAGAGGATTGGGAGCAGTAGCGTGGCAGGAGAGGCGGAGAGCAGAGATAGTATGAGAGAGGCAGCGGGAGAGGAAACGGTGGGCGGAAGCAATGGGGGGGGGGGGGAAGGGTCGAGGGAGCGGCGGGGAGGAAGAGATGAGGCAGTAGCTAAGTGCCTGGCGGCGAGGGAGAGTAGGAGCAGCCGCGGCGAAGTGTCTTGCAGCGAGGAGAGGCAGTGGCGGCGGCAAATTGCCCGCAGCGAGTGAGTAGAGGCGGCGGAGGCGAAATGCCCCGCGGCGAGTGGGAGCAGTGGCGGCGGCGGCGAAATGCCCCGCGGCGAGTGGGAGCAGTGGCGGCGGCGGCGAAATGCCCCGCGGCGAGTGGAGTAGCGGCGGCGGAGGCGAAATGCCCCGCGGCGAGTGGGAGCAGTGGCGGCGGAGGCGAAATGCCCCGCGGCGAGTGGGAGCAGTGGCGGCGGCGGCGAAATGCCCCGCGGCGAGTGGGAGCAGAGGCGGCGGCGGCGAAATGCCCCGCGGCGAGTGGGAGCAGTGGCGGCGGCGGCGAAATGCCCCGCGGCGAGTGGAGTAGTGGCGGCGGAGGCGAAATGCCCCGCGGCGAGTGGGAGCAGTGGCGGCGGCGGCGAAATGCCCCGCGGCGAGTGGGAGCAGTGGCGGCGGCGGCGAAATGCCCCGCGGCGAGTGGGAACAGTGGCGGCGGCGGCGAAATGCCCCGCGTCGAGAGAAGCAGCGGCGGCGGCGGCGAAATGCCCCGCAAGGAAGAAAAGCGGTGCGAGAGTAGTGGCGACGGCGGATAGGTCGCGGCGATTGAGACGCCGGCAGCTGAGAACGTAAATGCGGCGGCAGGAGCTGAGGCGAGAAATTCGCCTTACGAGAGATAGAGTAGGAGCTGGAGGGAGGTGGTGACTGGTTGTACTTTACGGAAAATTGAACTTCAACCAAGTCAAACCCACGCAACAAGTTGCATGGGCAGGACGGAAGGGTCCTGACGAGCGGGGAGGAAAAAAAAAACTTGAGAAAGAGGTCGAGAGGGGCGTTTGCCAATTGGCTCTGAATACCATGAAAGAATCTCAAGTGTTGTCTTGATTAGAAAGAGTGTCGGTACATATAGGAGATGAGAAGTTTTGGGAACGAAGTGGGGTACCCTCAGCATTTATTGGTGGACCAATCAGATTGGGTCGACCAACAATTGCTGGGGTAACCAACAATCGTTGGAGGGGACCATTATTGGGCCCCCCCCGTCAATTGCGGTCGAGTTGGGTTTGGGGGCGCCCAACCAAAATTGGTTGGGTCGCCTTGACCCAAAGTGTACACCCACTTTAGGGTGTAACACATGCACAAATATAAACATACATTATGCTATATTCTAACACTTTTCACAATGCACACGCACCTTCCAGCATGATGTTCCTGGCATTAAGGGGGTGGGTGGGCTGGGCAGAAGCAGCACCTTGGGATTCGCCCCTTCAGCTGCTCTGGAGTCCACAGTCCGCCCAAAAGACAACCACACACCTCCCAGCACACCTGATCCACACCTCAAACACTCCTCCCAACACCTTCCACACATGCACCTTTTCACAATGCACACGCACCTTCCATTCCAGCATGATGTTCCTGCCATTAAGGGCGGCAGCAGCACCTTAAGCAGGTCCCTCCAGCTCCTCCAGCTCCTTTAGAGTCAGCTCAACGGACGCACCCGCACATCCCGTCCTAGCACACCCCGCACATCCCAGCAAACCCCGCATATCCTAGCAGAAGCACCCTGAGTCGCCCCTTCAGCTCCTTGAGAGTCGACTCAAAAGACACCCACGCACCTTCCAGCACTCCCGCCCACGTCCCAGCTCACACACGCACACCTTCCAGCATGATGTTGCGCGCATCAAGCGGGTCGGTGGGCAGCAGCAGCACCTTGAGCCGCCCCTCCAACTGCTCTAGAGTACACCCACAAGGCACCCATGCACCTCCAGCGCACCAATCACCTTTGCACAACGCACGCGCACCTTCCAGCATGATGTTTCTTGCATCGAGGGGTTCAGTGGGCAGCAGCAGCACCTTCAGGCACCCCTCAAGCTGCTCTATCTGCGCCTCTAGCTCTTTCGGAATCAACTTAACAGACACACATGCACCTTCCAGCACAACCCCCCACGTCCCAGCTCACACACGCACACCTTCCAGCATGATGTTGCGGGCGTCAAGCGGGTCGGTGGGCAGCAGCAGCACCTTGAGAGTCAACTCAACAGACGCACCCGCACATCCCAGCACACCCCGCACATCCCAGCACACCCCGCACATCCCAGCACACCCCGCACATCCCAGCACACCCCGCACATCCCAGCACACCCCGCACATCCCAGCACACCCCGCACATCCCAGCACACACATGCACCTTTTCACAATGCACTCTCACCTTCCAGCATGATGTTTCTTGCATCGAGAGGGTCGGAGGGCAGCAGCAGCACCTTGAGCCGCCCCTCCAGCTCCTCTAGCTGCGCCTCCAGCTCGCGCACCTCCTCCCCCGCCATCTCCGCCATCTCCGGGTCCGATGCACTGTCCTTCATCAGGGCTGGTGCAAGGAGTGGTAAGGAGTGGGAGGCAATGGGAAGGAGTGGAATTGGAAATGAGTGGGGAGCAGGTAAGCTGTCTAATTCTCCAGCTCGCCCACCTCCTTCCCGGCCATCTCCGCCATCTCTGGGTCCGATGCACTGTCCTTCATTAGGGCTGGTGCAAGGAGTGGGAAGGAATGGGGAGGAGTGGGAAGAGTTGGTGCACGGGGTGCAAGGGGTGGGTGCAAAGGGTGCAAATGGGTGCGAAGGGGTGCAAGGGGTGCAAGCATTGCCAGGCATCGCTATAGTCACCTTTTGCGTCAGCCAGTTGCTGCTGCTTGTCTTTCCACTCCGCATAGGCACTCGCCACCTGCCGGGATGATGGCGAGGATGTGAGATGGCGAGGATGTGAGATGGCGAGGATGTGAGATTAGTATGTGGCCCTGTGGGTCGATGCATGATACGATGTGGCATGTCATGCCCATGGGATGTGGCGATGTGGGATGGGCATGTGGGGATGTGGGATGGGATGTGGAATGTGTGTGGAGGTTGTGGGGATGTGGGATGTGAACCGGTGGGCACGCATTGACGCACCACCCACCCATGTATGCATACCAGCGCCACGTTAGATGCAGCCCATTCCGCATCCCCTTATCATTCCATTCACCTCTCCCCTGCTTTCTCACCCCCACCCGGCACTGATAGGATGGTGCTGCCCACACAAGTTTTCCCCCCTCCTCACAAGCTGGGTGAGTATTCATCGTTAGTGCTCCCAACCCAACTACCTCCCCTCCTCTCCTCTGTCCCCCTCTCCCCCTCTCTCTCCCCCTCAACTCGTCAATCACCTCGTACCTACTCCCAACTACCTCACCCCCACTCCTCTATCCCCCTCTCCCCTCCTTTACCCCCTCTATCCGCTCCATATACCCCTTTGCTCACCCACTCACCTCCTCGATCTCCCCGGCGGACTTGGCAATGCGCATGTACTCTGTCGCGTTGGACGCCACCTCGGGATCTGCCAGTCGAATCTGGTGATGGGGCGCGCATGGGGGAACGGGTGGGGGGGAAGGATGGGGGGCACGGGAGGGGGGCACGGGTGGGGGGCACGGGAGGGGGGCACGGGTGGGGGGCACGGGAGGGGGGCACGGGTGGGGGGCACGGGAGGGGGGCACGGGTGGGGGGCACGGGAGGGGGGCACGGGAGGGGGGCACGGGAGGGGGGCACGGGTGGGGGGCACGGGAGGGGGGCACGGGTGGGGGGCACGGGAGGGGGGCACGGGTGGGGGGCACGGGAGGGGGGCACGGGTGGGGGGCACGGGAGGGGGGCACGGGTGGGGGGCACGGGAGGGGGGCACGGGTGGGGGGCACGGGAGGGGGGCACGGGTGGGGGGCACGGGAGGGGGGCACGGGTGGGGGGCACGGGAGGGGGGCACGGGTGGGGGGCACGGGTGGGGGGCACGGGTGGGGGGCACGGGTGGGGGGCACGGGAGGGGGAAAAGATGTGGGGAGGGAATGGGTGGGGGTTAAGGATGTGGGAAAAGGAAGGGGAGAACGGATGTGGAAGAAGGATGCGGGGAAAGGATGGGGGGGAAGGATGGGGGGGAAGGATGGGTGGGAAGGATGGGGGGGAAGGATGGGGGGGAAGGATGGGGGGGGAAGGATGGGGGGGAAGGATGGGGGGGAAGGATGGGGGGGGGAAGGATGGGGGGGAGGGGATGAAGGGGGGAAAGGACGAGGATACGAGATTACATCAAGCCGGGGAGGATGGAAATAAGAGGAGCAATTGAAGGGTGTAAGTGCATATGCTGAGGTAAGGCATGGGGGAGCTAAGGGATCAATGGGAAGACGAAGAGGGAAGAGATAGAACGCAAGGGAAATGCGACTCACAGAAAGTTCTTTGAAGGTTCGTTCTGCTGAGTCTAGCTTCGTGATGACGTAAGCCTCCTGATAGGGAAGTAGAAAATGAGAAGACAGAAGAGCGGAGACGGAGGAGAAGAGAAGGGAGGGGGAGCGGGTGGTGTAGTGGGGAATGGAGGGGCTAGGGTGAAGGAGTTGGCTGGGTAGGCGGGAGGAAGTGACGAGGCCTAAACCCCTCAGAGGAACAGGGAGAGAGCTCTGAAAGAACCTGCGCGCTGAACCTGAGCGTGTGCTCCATGGCACAGAAGCGTTGGTCTATACCAACCAACATGCCGCACTCCTGAGCAGCTGCTTCTCAGGCCTCAAGACTCTCAGGCTCTCAGGAGGCTTCGAAAGGCACTCTCAGGCGATCATGGCATCTCCCCCTTTCCTGTCAGACAATGCGAACCCAGAAGCTACTCCCAGAGCTCTTTAGGCGGAGATGGAAGAGAAACTTCCATTCTACTTCGCGCCAGAAGGTCGGCAGAAGGGACCGTGAGAGCCAGTCTAACTAGGAGCGGACAGCACTGCGATGCTCGTGATTGTGATTCGATCACGAGTCGCGGGAATTGCGTTGGTTCGGAATCACTGCGCTACGAAGACGGAATCGGCGCCAGCACGCACCAGAGCACTACGGACAACGAATGCCATCCCTGGCCGAACCTCGCGCCCCGAAGCTCCTGCATTCCCCGCAATCTGCACAGCAGAGCGTTGCCGCCACGCGGAGGCTCCGCTAAACGCGGAACATCTGGCGAGCGAATGGGCTTGCGGCTGGAAAGAGCATCCTGCGGCAGGTCCGGCGAGATTTGCGGCGGGATTGGCGGTGAGTCGACACGAGTGGACCACATTGCACCTGCCGGTTCCCGTCGCAGTCGACGTGACAGGCGAAGTGGTAACCGCGCTGCACGATGTGGTGGCGACGCCGTGGGCTGCGACGGACTGGAGGCGAGAAGCCATTGCGAAACAGCAACTAAATGTTTAGCTTCAGAAAGGAGTTGCCTAGCAAGTGGATAGAATTTGATGTTGAGTTGGTGGGAGCTTGCTACGTTCTAATTGGCTGCGTTGCCGGATAACTCTGTTGTTGGTGATCCGGCAGCCCATGTGCGAAGATGCTCATTTCGGTAACCCTATATGCGAAATTGCTTTTTTAGGTAACCCTATATGCCATTGATTGGCGAGGTCTGCATTGACACTTTCGCCCATATGACGTCACGGCGGCTTGTGACTCTCACGGACTTGTGGTGTCTACTGCGCCACGTCAACCGAGACTCCTCTGTCACCGATTTGCCGTTCAGTTCGTTATGATATCACTCGCGCGGTATGTCGCGTCATTGTTTCATCGAAACGTACATGCTTTCCCACCAAGTTGAGAAAACTAAGTTTGAATTGCAGAAGCTGAGAGCCTGTTTACTTTCAAACTGGCTACTACCGTTTGAGCATAATGCATCAGATGCTCGCTTCTGCAATGCTTCTCCATCCACCACTAGTTTCACACAGCCATCAAGCATGTACGTACATGTGTGCACAAGAAAAGTGGGCGAAAGGAGGCCGAGAAAGATGAAGGGGGGCACTAAAAGAGAAAGGCTGTACATCTATAGCAGCCTCACATGCAGCTTCTTTTTCCTTGGTGCTTGCTTGCCACCATCAATACCTACGCCTGCTCCCTTTTACGCTGCTCGTGATGCTGCTGTTGCTGCTGCTGGTGATGATGCTGATGCTGATGATGCTGTGGGTGGGGAGGATGCCGGTGCTGCTGCTGATGTCGCTGGTGGGGATGGGGGTGGGGATGGGGGTGGCGGCGCTGCTGCTGCAGGCGGCGCATCTCGCTCTTCTCGTGTTCCTCGTACACTGGCAGGCTGCGAATGTGCTGCACCTCCTTCAGCAGCACCTCCTCTGTGATGTTGTCCCGGATGCTCTCCATCACCTGTGAGGGGGGGGAAGCCAATGCACCTATGTTATCATCGCCTCCTTCAGCAGCACCTCCTCTGTGATGTTGTCTCGAACGCTCTCCATCACCTGTGGGGGAAAGACATGCCAATACATCTCTCTTATTATCACATCCTTCAACATCGGTGATTATCAGATGGGACCACGCACGCACATACACACACACGTGCATGTGACACGCATTGAGGTGCTTCTTGGTGCGCACCCTCATCCCCTCCCACACGCCATCCGCCTGGTAACAAGCATTACACACACGTTAAGCATAACCATCAGCAGGCATCACCTTGAGGTATGTGTGCCATGCGTTGGGTTGGGGTGCTCCTTGTCAGTGCGCACGCACACGAACTGCCGTGAGGCAAGGTGCATGCTACCCATGACATTCAGCAGGCGCAGGCGCACCTTGAGGTATGTGTGCCAGGCGTTGGGGTGCTCCTTGTCAGTGCGCACGCGCATGAACTCCCACTCGCCCTCATCCTTCTTCCAGCAGCACTCCACTATCTTCCCCTCTAGCTCGTTTGCCTCCTCCTCACTCATGCCTGAGGGAAAAAGAAGGGAGAGGGCGGGGGTGGATGGGTCGGTGTTGTGGGTGTCTTTGGGCAAAGGGAGGCATTGTGTGAATGTGTAGAGCTGAAACCCCAACTCGTGATGCAAGCAGCAGCACTCCACTATCTTCCCCTCCAGCTCGTCTGCCTCCTCCTCCTCACTCATGCCTGAGGGAGGGAAGGGGGAAGGGAGAGGAGTAGGCGGGGGGAGTGGGTTTCAGGGGCGAAGAGAAGCGTTATGAAGGAATAGAACTGAAACCCCACGTTGTGGCGCAACCAGCACTCCACTCCACTATCTTCCCCTCTCCAGCGAGCTCGCTCCCCCTCACTCATCTCTAAGGAGGGTGTGAAAAGGGCAGGGAGAGGGTACGGGGGGTTGGGTGGAAAAGAGAGGTTGGGGTTGGTTTGGTTTGTCTTAGGGCAAGAGAGGTGTTATATATGAACTCCAAGTTTGGCTCAATAGCAATCCACCATATTCCTATCCAGCGCGTTGGCTCCTCCCCTCACGCATGCCTAGGCAGGGAAAGAATGGAGAGGGGTTTTGGGCAAGAAGCGTTGTGGAAGCGCAAACGTGAGCAGAACTCCGCTTGCTTGCCCTCCAACTCTGATGAGTCTATTTTCAGTCGACTCAAAAACAGACTCATCAAACGTGAGCAGACTTCCCTAGCTTGCCCTCCAACTCAATTGCCCCCTCCTTACTCGTGTGGAGGAGCGGAAGTGTGGATTGGACAAAGAGACACGGTTATGACATATGTAGAATGGTTATTTACACTGTGGGGCCAAAGCAGGAGGACAGGAGGGAAGGAAAAGAGCAGGAGGGAAGGAGGAGAGCAGGAGGGAAGGAGAAGAGCAGGAGGGAAGGAGGAGAGCAGGAGGGAAGGAGGAGAGCAGGAGGGAAGGAGAAGAGCAGGAGGGAAGGAGGAGAGCAGGAGGGAAGGAGAAGAGCAGGAGGGAAGGAGGTGAGCAGGAGGGAAGGAGGAGAACAGGAGGGAAGGAGGAGAACAGGAGGGAAGGAGGAGAGCAGGAGAGCACAGCAAAGCAGGAGGCACCGACCAGGGTAGGTGAACTTGGCTGCTGGCAGCGCTCGCAGCGTCTTTCTGTCGGAGAGACTTTTGAGACGTCTCAAAAGAGAGCAGGAGAGCAAAGCAAAGCAAGAGGGAGGCACCGACCAGGGTGGGTGAACTTGGCTGCTGGCAGCGTCTTCCGGTCGGACAGAAGCAGAACCCACTAGGTGACTTTTGAGTCGACTCAAAAGTCACCTCAAAGCAAAGCAAGAGGCACCGACCAGGGTGGGTGAACTTGGCTGCTGGCAGCGCTCGCAGCTTCTTCCTGTCGGAGAGCAGCAGCACCCACTTGCCCTCCGGTGATTTCTGCACCGCAGCTCGCAAGGGGGACGACGGGGGGAGAGGAGCGGGGAAGGAAGTGGAACAGAACGTGCTGAAAGTGAGACAATAGGAGTCAACCAGAGGAACGTGTAGTGGAAAGAGGAACGGAGACAGAAGTGTGCTGTGTTGGATGAGGTTCAACAGGAGTGGGCAGGAGTTAACAGGAGTTAACAGGAGTCAATAGGAGTCAACCAGAGGTCAGCGGGAGTCAGAAGGAGTCCACATGCGTCAAGGTAAGTCAACAGGAGTCAACGCACCTTGAGGCAGAAGTCAACGGAGTTCATGTGAGCATACTTCCACTCGAGCAGTCCCTCGTGCAGTCAACAGGACAAGGTGAGTCCACATAAGTCAACAGGAGTCTAAGCACCTTGAGGCAGAAGTCAACGCACCTTGAGGCAGAAGTCAACGCACCTTGAGGCAGAAGTCAACGCACCTTGAGGCAGAAGTCAACGCACCTTGAGGCAGAAGTCAACGGAGTTCATGTGAGCATACTTCCACTTGAGCAGGCCCTCGTGCGTGCGCGGCACATACGCATCGTTCCACCCCTGCCGTGCAGAGCAGACCAAGGTAAGGGCAGACGAGGGCAGAAAAAAACTTAGTGGGGGAAGAGGGAAGCTCACATTGTGCTAAGCATGTGGGGCAAGGAGCTTGTGGGGCAAGGAGCTTGTGGGGCAAGGAGCTTGTGGGGCAAGGAGCTTGTGCGGGCAAGGCAAATAAGCAATATTCATTCCGTTCCTGTGAGCGATTGGAAAGGCAATGCGTTTGGGAGGGGATGACAAACAGGCGTAATTTCAGTGAGCTCACATCACAGGGCACATACACACTGAGCAGCAGGAGGAGCATGGATGCAGAGGTGCTTCCTTCTAGAACCTCTCTTGGGCAACCAGCCTACTTGCACAAGAAGGTCACGTGAGCAGTAAGTGAATGTGTTGAATGGAGAAGGGACATGTGTGTAAGTGAGGGCACTTACCTGCAGGAGTCACCTGCTGACAGACAGATGGAGAGTCACACAGACTGACAGACTGACTGACCGACTGACAAACTGACCGACTCACTCACTCACTCACTCACTCACTCACTCACTCACTCACTCACTCGCTCACCTGCAGAATGAGACCGTCGGACTCGTGGCTGAGCTTGGGGATGAAGTCGTGCAGCAGCTTGCCCACCGTGCTCAGCATGTAGAAGTCCTTGCGCCGCACCTGGTGGGGCATGCATGGGGCATGGGGCGTGGGGCGTGGGGAATAGTGCATGGGGTAAAGCAGCTTGCCCACCGTGCTCAGCATGTAGAAGTCCTTGCGCCGCACCTGGTGGGTGGGGGTGGGGGATGGGGAATGGTGCATGGGGCGCATGGGGCATGGCGCATGTATCGGACATGCATGGGGCAAAGGCATAGGTGGCTGCCCACCGTGCTAGGCATGCAGAAGTCATTGCGCCACACCTGGTGGTGCATGCATGGGACCATGCATGGTACATCGGGCGTAGGGTATGGGGCATGGGGCATGGAGCATGGGCCATGGGGTAAGTTGCATGGGGCATGGGGCGTGGGGCATGGGGCATGGGGCATGCTGCATGGAGCATGGGGCATGGGGCATGGGGTGCTGCGCATGGTGCGTGCATGGTGTGTGGTGCGTGACACATGGCACATGATACTAGGCACATGGAGTCATACTGTTGCAGCATTCCAAAGCATTTGGAATTCCTCCAGCTGCCTTCATCTTCAGACTCTCCAATCTATTCAGGTTGTGCACACGGAAATCCTTATTTACATTCCCCCTCAAACCTTTCAACCTGCACTGCACTGCACCCACCAACCAAGCAACCCACCAAATCCTCCATACAGTAGTCGTACAGGGGGTTCATTGCTGCATCCATCTTCCAATCCTTCAGGCTGCAATCACCTTTCAAGCAGCACCCACCTTGAAGTCCTCCAGGCTGTAGTCGTACAGGGGGTTCATCGCTGCATCCATCTTTGAACCCTTCAAGCAGAACAGAGCGCACCTTGAAGTCCTCCAGGCTGTAGTCATAAAGGGGGTTCATGGCTGCATCCATCTTGCATGACTGCAACCCTCCAACCCTCCACCTAATAAAGTGGTCAATGTGTAACCCTCTAAGCAGCAACCAATCACCTTGAAGTCCTCCAGGCTGTAGTCATAAAGGGGGTTCATGGCTGCATCCATCTTGCATGACTGCAACCCTCCAACCCTCCACCTAATAAAGTGGTCAATGTGCAACCCTCTAAGCAGCAACCAATCACCTTGAAGTCCTCCAGGCTGTAGTCATACAGGGGGTTCATCGCTGCATCAATCCACCTTAAACCCTTCAATGTACCACCCTTCAAGCCCTTCAAGCAGCATTGAGCGCACCTTGAAGTCCTCCAGGCTGTAGTCGTAAAGGGGGTTCATGGCTGCATCCATCTTGCACGCCCCACCTGATACACTTCAAGTTGCAATCACCCTGAAACCCCTTCAAGGCTCAAGCAGCAACCAATCACCTTGAAGTCCTCCAGACTGTAGTCATAAAGGGGGTTCATGGCTGCATCCATCTTGCGCGGCGCCACCACCTCCCTCTCGATCAGCTCAAACCGCTCTGCGAACGGCCTCTGCAAAGAGGGAGGAAGAACGAATATTGGGTTTAATCTGAGCCCTAGGAGAAACAAATGCCAGAACACCATCACCTCCCTCTCGATCAGCTCAAACCGCTCCGCGAACGGCCTCTGTGGGGGGGAAGAAAGAATGGCAGGAAGGGAGCAGATGAGTGATGAGAGCGAAGGCTTTTACTTAAGTGTTTCAAGATAGTCTGCGGTGGCAGGCACAACCAGCTCTCTATCAATCAGCTCAAACCGCTCCGCGAACGGCCTCTGCAAGCAGAAGGCAGAAATAAGGGAGAGCATTAGTGAGAGGGGAAGGGGAGGAGTATGCACACACATGCACGACCTTTCCACCACCATCTCCCTCAAAATACCACTCACACCCCCCTCTTGGCTTGGCCCCCCTTTTTCCCCTCTCCACTCACATGCCCCAGTGGCATGCTGTGTGTGGAGCATCATGAGGTCATAGAGGTAGCGCCGTGCCTTCCCTGCCGTGCCTTCCCTGCCGTGCCTTCCCTGCCGGACACTGTGAGCCACAGCAACGGGTGTAAAATCCTTCCCCCCCTCCCAACCCACTGGAAGTGGGGGGGGCATTTGAGTGGTGTGTGCCTCAATCCCCTCCACACACCACTCAAATCCTCCCCTTCTTCCCAATTCACATCCCCCAGAGACACGCTGTCCCAGCATCATGAGATCATAGTTGAGGTAGCGCAGCGCCTCTCCTGCCCTGTACTATGTGTCACAGCAATCAGAGCCATGTGTAGCAATCCCCCCCACACACCACCCAAGTCTCCTCCTCTTGACTCACATCCCCCAGCGGCAAGCTGTCAAGCATCATGAGATCGTAGATGAGGTAGCCATGCTCCTGCACGCCAGTGAGTAGCACAGCAATCGGTGCCATGTCATCCCCCACCCCCACCACACTCAAACTCCCTGGGACCCCCTCCCGCTCTCAACTCACATCCCCCAGCGGTCCGCTATCAAGCATCATGAGATCATAGATGAGGTAGCGCCTGTCCTGCACGCCAGTGCCAGGCAGCTCACCCACAACCAACCATCTCGTCATCCAGCAGTGTGTGCCGTAGCAACCGGTGCCATGCCATGTGTCACAATCACCCCCGCGCACCCCTCACATCCCCCAGCGCCCCCCATATGGACTCACATCTCCCAACGGCACGCTGTCAAGCATCATGAGATCATAGATGAGGTAGCACCTCTCCTGCACGCCAGTGCCGGGCAGCTCATCGACGACCATACCAGGTGCCCATCACACCCAACACACCACTCACATCCCCCAGTGGCACACTGTCAAGCATCATGAGATGAGGTAGCGCCGCTCCTGCCATGCACTGTGGGGCACAGCAGCCAGTGTGCCACAATCCCCCCCTCTCCCGACTCACATCCCCCAGTGGCACGCTATCAAGCATCATGAGATCATAGATGAGGTAGCGCCGCTCCTGCACGCCAGTGCCGGGCAGTTCATCCACCACCATCTCGCCGTCCAGCAGCGTGGTGCGATGCACGTCCCAGTCGTCTGCCGCCTTGTGCTGTAGGTGCTTGCGCGCCGGAAACCGCATCTGCACTCGCCGAAACCGGAAGTTCCTGGAGTTGGGAAGGAGAGAGGGGAGGAGGGGCGGAGGGGGGAGAGGGGGGGGGGGGGGGCAGGAGGGAAGAGGCAGAGTTGGACGAGAGATATCGCTTCCAGAGGTATCAAATATCGCATAAAACGACAGTCCCTGTCAATGCAAGCACCTGTCGAGGCAAGCCCACCTGTCGATGAGGTAGCAGCCATCGGGGCAGATGAGCATCATGTAGCACGTGCCACAACAGTCACTCTTAACTTGTTCACCTGTCAATGCAAGCACAAGCACACCTGTCTGTCACTGCAAGCACACCTGTCTGTCACTGCAAGCACACCTGTCTGTCACTGCAAGCACACCTGTCTGTCACTGCAAGCACACCTGTCTGTCACTGCAAGCACACCTGTCTGTCACGGCAAGCACACCTGTCGATGAGGTAGCAGCCGTCGGGGCAGATGAGCATCATGTAGCGCGTGCCATCCGCCTTCCATGTCACGTAGTACAGCCGCTGCCGCAGCAGCTGCAGGTTCTTGCTGCACCATTCATACCACACGTGGAAAGTGGGTAGTGTAGAAATTAGTAAAAAGATTCTTGCTGTATCGCATATTCCACGTGCTGAACATGGGTGGTGTAGTAGAGATTCAAAAGACCACACACGGGAAGAGAAGAGAGCAGAGGACAGACACAAGGGACTTGCAGCTGGTCACTTACAGCGACAAAAGAACCCACGTCTAACCAATCTTCAAGGGGCTCCTCGGAGGGACGGTGAGAGACAGGGAGCTTACAGGTCCAGTGAGACTGGTTGCGAGCCGGGGAAGTGCCGAAAATTGTTCTGGAGGGAGGATGAGGGATGGGGGTGAGGGTGGAAATGGGTACTACTTTGAGAATTCTCTAAAGGATTTCCCAGCAAGACCAGTTGAGAACCAGGGAGAGAAGTGGTGCAAGTTTGACAGGGAGAATAGCAGAAATAAGAAATGGGTAAATGGGTAAATGGGTAATGGGTAAATGTGGGGCAGCGGGAGCGGGAGGTGAGAATGAGATTGAGCACAGAACGGAGGGAGAAGAGGAGAGGAGAAAACAGCGGATAGAAATCCGGAGGCAGGGAAGGGGATGGACGGAAGAAAGGAGGGGGAAGAAACACCTGTGGTTAACGATGCAAGGGGGTGAGTGCAAGACCAACTCCTGATTCCCCACTCCCACCCCATCTCACCAATCCCAACCCCCCTGCACCCATCGTCACCCCTCACTGCACGTACCGACTTGAGCCCCGTGCACACAAGCTGTTGCAGCTCCATCTGCTGCTCCTCCAATATTACCACTCCCCCTTTCCTCTCCAATATTTGCACAGCTCTGCACCGCTCTGCACCATTCACCACCCCTCCTCGCTGCACATACCGACTTGAGCCCCGTGCACACAAGCTGCTGCAGCTCCATCTGCTGCTCCTCCGGTATTGCCGACCCCAGCACATCGTCGATCGTCATCTTCTTCTTGCCCTCCTCCTCCTTGCTTGCCTCCTGGGCAAGCACACAGAAAGAGAGCAACATGCTGACACCCCTAACCTAACTCGCATCGCATCCACCAGCCGACCCCACCACATCACCAATGGTCATCTTCTCCTTGCCCTCCTCCTTGCTTGCCTCCTGGGGAAAAAATAAAAAAAAAAACAGCAGCAGCAGGACACGGAGAGAGTGGATAGCACACCGATCAATGGATGCGTATCATCTCATCAGCACCTCGCCTCTCCCAACCTGCCTGAATCTCCTCTCATCCATCGCCTCGCCTCTCCCAACCTGCCTGAATCTCCTCTCATCCATCGCCTGGCCTCTTCCATGCATCTTCTGCCACACTCACCCCTCCTTGCCCGCCACACTCACCCCTCCTTGCCCGCCACACTCACCCCTCCTTGCCCGCCACACTCACCCCTCCTTGCCCGCCACACTCACCCCTCCTTGCCCGCCACACTCACCCCTCCTTGCCCGCCACACTCACCCCTCCTTGCCCGCCACACTCACCCCTCCTTGCCCGCCACACTCACCCCTCCTTGCCCGCCACACTCACCCCTCCTTGCCCGCCACACTCACCCCTCCTTGCCCGCCACACTCACCCCTCCTTGCCCGCCACACTCACCCCTCCTTGCCCGCCACACTCACCCCTCCTTGCCCGCCACACTCACCCCTCCTTGCCCGCCACACTCACCCCTCCTTGCCCGCCACACTCACCCCTCCTTGCCCGCCACACTCACCCCTCCTTGCCTGCCACACTCACCCCTCCTTGCCCGCCACACTCACCCCTCCTTGCCCGCCACACTCACCCCTCCTTGCCCGCCACACTCACCCCTCCTTGCCTGCCACACTCACCCCTCCTTGCCCGCCACACTCACCCCTCCTTGCCTGCCACACTCACCCCTCCTTGCCCGCCACACTCACCCCTCCTTGCCTGCCACACTCACCCCTCCTTGCCCGCCACACTCACCCCTCCTTGCCCGCCACACTCACCCCTCCTTGCCTGCCACACTCACCCCTCCTTGCCCGCCACACTCACCCCTCCTTGCCTGCCACACTCACCCCTCCTTGCCCGCCACACTCACCCCTCCTTGCCTGCCACACTCACCCCTCCTTGCCCGCCACCACACTCACCGGCTCGGGCAGCACTGCAGCGCCGCACTCCCCGTTCCCATCATTCCCACAGCCGCCACCTCTCGCCCCATCAGCTGCCAAGTTGAGAGGTCCAGGTCGAGCGTGGCCTTGTTGAAATCACTTATGGGAATTCTCAAAAGTGATCGAGGTCCGGGTGGAGCGTGGCCTTCCACTCGGGAGGAGCCGGCGCACCATCCACCCACCAGCACTTGCCAAGCTTGCAGCACCGGACAACAAAAGACCTACCAACCAGAGCCAACTGAAAGGCTGACAGACAGGCTCACTGGCTCTGGCAGCACAGCGGCGCCGCACTCCTCGTTCCCGTCGTCCCCTCCCCTCCCTCCCCCTCCCTCACCCGCCTCCTCCTCGTCCATCTCAAATGTGGCCTTCCATTCCACTCGGGCGTGGGCGCACCCACAGGGCGAGGTGAGGTGCGCGGTGGGTGGGATGTGCGGGTGGGCCCTTACGTGACCACCCTACTCACTGGCTGTTTGTCTGATCTGATCCACTCACCGGCTCTGGCAGCACAGCAGCGCCGCACTCCTCGTTGCCGTCATCGCCACCGCCTGCGCTGCCACCCCCCTCCTCCTCCTCGTCCATCTCAAGGGCCACGTTGAGGTCCAGGTCCAGGTCAAACGTGGCCTTCCACACTCACTGGCTGTTAGTCTGATCCACTCACAGGCTCTGGCAGCACGGCAGCGCCGCACTCCTCGTTGCCATCATCGCCACCACCACCTCCTGCGCTGCCTCCTCCCTCCTCCTCCTCGTCCATCTCAAGCGCCACGTTGAGATCCAGGTCCAGGTCGAATGTGGCCTTCCACTCGGGCGTGGAGGGGCAGATCACCGCCTCGGGGCGCCGCTCGTGGTAGAAGGAGAAGAGCGCCTGGATGTACTCCTCCTTGTATATGCCCGGGGGGCGGGCCTCTGCGAACTCGGCTAGCCTCTGTATTTGTGAAAACGACAGGGGGTTTAGGAAGGGGGCGGGACACACGGACAGGCGGACATGTGTGGGTTGGAGGTGGCTTCCAGTTCCAGGGGGAGCAGCGCTCGTGGTAGAAGGAGAAGAGCGCCTGGATGCACTCCTCCTTGTGTATGCCCGGAGGGCGGGCCTCTGCGAACTCTGCGAGCCTCTGCAATGGGTGTGAGTGAGGGAAGACGAGATGGACAGGCACGTGTGTGAGGTGCCTGCGAGGGAGCAGGGCTAGTGATAGGAGAATAGCGCCTGGAAAACAGTGAGCTTGAGGGGCTGTGGGAGCAAGAATCATGCAAAGTGCTTGTTTTCTTCTTCTTCAACGCCACAAACTCATAAGAACAAAACAAAAAAAACAAAAAACAAAAGGAGCAGAATTACTCGTCCCCCTCCTTGTGTATTCCACCATTAAATAATTCTGCCACACGCCACAATGCCACAGTACCTCTGCCACCACGTGCCCACCTCTGCCACCACGTGCCCACCTCTGCCACCACGTGCCCACCTCTGCCACCACGTGCCCACCTCTGCCACGTGCCCACCTCTCCCACGTGCCCACCTCTGCGCTGCCCCTATCCACCATACCATACCTCTGCGCTGCCTCTATCCACCATACCATACCTCTGCGCTGCCCCTATCCACCATACCATACCTCTGCGCTGCCCCTATCCACCATACCATACGTCTGCGCTGCCCCTATCCACCATACCATACCTCTGTGCTGCCCCTATCCACCATACCATACCTCTGCGCTGCCCCTATCCACCATACCATACCTCTGCGCTGCCCCTATCCACCATACCATACCTCTGCGCTGCCCCTATCCACCATACCATACCTCTGCGCTGCCCCTATCCACCATACCATACCTCTGCGCTGCCTCTATCCACCATACCATACCTCTGCGCTGCCCCTATCCACCATACCATACCTCTGCGCTGCCCCTATCCACCATACCATACCTCTGCGCTGCCCCTATCCACCATACCATACCTCTGCGCTGCCCCTATCCACCATACCATACCTCTGCGCTGCCCCTATCCACCATACCATACCTCTGCGCTGCCCCTATCCACCATACCATACCTCTGCCACGTGGCCGCCCATGGCGCGCATGAGGAAGTGGATGATCACGAAGCCCGTGCGGTTGTGCCCGTGCGTGCAGTGCACCACAATGTACTTCTTGCGCTCCGTGGCCCGCATGTAGTCCAGCGCCTGCCGTGCGAGAGGGCCACAGGTCAGAGGGCCACAGGGGAGAGACAGAGGTAAGTGGGAGAGGCAGCGGCAAGTGGGAGGGTGCAGTGCACCACAATGTACTTCTTGCGCTCCGTGGCCCGCATGTAGTCCAGTGCCTGGCAACAGGAGGGGCAGGACAGGGGTGGGATAAGTGAGAGAGAAAGAGTCACAGAGGTAAGTGGGAGAGGGCAGTGCACCACGATGCACTTTTTGCGCTGTGTGGCCCGCATGTAGTCCAGTGCCTGAAAGGAGGACGGGGCAGAGGGGAAGGGGAAGCGGTTGACTGCCTCATTATCTGGCACCTCGTTGCATCTCGACACCCCCGGGCCAGCTGGTGGCCTCTGCACACAAGATACAGGAACGACATAGAAGAGGGGCGTTGCTCACCACAAAGACAAGCGGTTCACTGTGTCATCACCTGGCACGTCTTGATGTTTTTTAAATGCCTCAAAAACACCCTGCAACTCCAAGGGGAGGGCCGGTCGTAACTCACCACATAGACGAAGCGGTTGACCGTCTCATCATCTGGCACCTCGTCTCGACCCCTGCAGGCCAGCTGATAGGCGCCGCACACACGAGAAGGCGAGACAAGGGAAGACAGGGTGAGACAAGGTGAGAGACGCTTAGACAGACAGTTTATGAGGCGCCTCCAAAGCGGTTGACTGTCTTGTCGTCTGGCACCTCGTCCCGGGCCCTGCGGGCAAGCTGAAGGGCACCACAAACAACACAAGGCACAGGGAGGTACATAGACAACGGAAGGGACGAAGGTAAAGGGAGGGGCGCAGGTAAGGGGAGGGGGGGCAGCAAAACAGTCAGCAAAGAAACATCTCAACATGGCAAGAGTGGCACAAGAGGTGAGCGAATCGTCAAGCCCCGGTTCCGCCTGAAGCAACCGATTCTGCCCTGCGCCTCATTGGCTGAAATGAAACCATTTGCTTTGCGATCGTTGGAAAGCCACGAGACCTGGGTCGCACCGGCTATGCCTCGCACAAAACATGCCAAGGCAGCAGTGATGAGAGCAACCCGGACTACCTTGCTCTGCTTCCCTCCCTGCTGTACTGCAATGCAACTGTGCGACTGACTGTGCGACTGACTGTGCGACTGACTGTGCGACTGACTGTGCGACTGACTGTGCGACTGACTGTGCGACTGACTGTGCGACTGACTGTGCGACTGACTGTGCGACTGATTGTGCGACTGACTGTGCGACTGACTGTGCGACTGACTGTGCGACTGACTGTGCGACTGACTGTGCGACTGACTGTGCGACTGACTGTGCGACTGACTGTGCGACTGACTGTGCGACTGACTGTGCGACTGATTGTGCGACTGACAGTGCGACTGACTGTGCGACTGACTGTGCGACTGACTGTGCGACTGGCTGTGCGACTGACTGTGCGACTGACTGTCCGACTGACTGTGCGACTGACTGTGCGACTGACTGTGCGACTGACAGTGCGACTGACTGTGCGACTGACTGTGCGACTGACTGTGCGACTGACTGTGCGACTGACTGTGCGACTGACTGTGCGACTGACTGTGCGACTGACTGTGCGACTGACTGTGCGACTGACTGTGCGACTGACTGTGCGACTGACTGTGCGACTGACTGTGCGACTGACTGTGCGACTGACTGTGCGACTGACTGTGCGACTGACTGTGCGACTGACTGTGCGACTGACTGTGCGACTGACTGTGCGACTGACTGTGCGACTGACTGTGCGACTGACTGTGCGACTGACTGTGCGACTGACTGTGCGACTGACTGTGCGACTGACTGTGCGACTGACTGTGCGACTGACTGTGCGACTGACTGTGCGACTGACTGTGCGACTGACTGTGCGACTGACTGTGCGACTGACTGTGCGACTGACTGTGCGACTGACTGTGCGACTGACTGTGCGACTGACTGTGCGACTGACTGTGCGACTGACTGTGCGACTGACTGTGCGACTGACTGTGCGACTGACTGTGCGACTGACTGTGCGACTGACTGTGCGACTGACTGTGCGACTGACTGTGCGACTGACTGTGCGACTGACTGTGCGACTGACTGTGCGACTGGACTGTGCGACTGACTGTGCGACTGACTGTGCGACTGACTGTGCGACTGACTGTGCGACTGACTGTGCGACTGACTGTGCGACTGACTGTGCGACTGACTGTGCGACTGACTGTGCGACTGACTGTGCGACTGACTGTGCGACTGACTGTGCGACTGACTGTGCGACTGACTGTGCGACTGGCTGTGCGACTGACTGTGCGACTGACTGTGCGACTGACTGTGCGACTGACTGTGCGACTGACTGACTGTTTGACTGCCTGTGTGACGGACAGTGTAACTGCATAAATGACTGGTGTGTGTGTGTGTGCCTGTGTGGGTGCGTGCGTGTGTGTGTGCGTGCGTGCGACTTCACTCACATCTCATGTGCTTCACACATGTTTCTTCCTTTGCGTCCTCTCCTTCATTATGTGCTCACTTCTCTCTCGCACCCACAAGTCACATCACATCACATCACATCCCTGTGTCCCAACCCAATCAGCTCCTGCTCAATCATTTCTTATCTGCCCTCATCTTACCTTCACTTCACATGTCTCCCCTTCTGCTCTGCCCTCACTGCACCACGTGCTGCCTTGCCCTCACCTTGAGGTACTTCACGTTATACTTGAAGAATTCTTTCGAGTGAAGAATTCTTTCGAGTTGTAGTAACGAGTGGTGTTGGTCAGATCGTAATCACCAGCCCCACCTGCTCACTCACTTCCCCCCTCCCTGAACCTCACCTCACCTTCACATGCCTCGCTTTCTGCGAGCCCGTCCTCACCTTGAGGTACTTGACGTTATACTTGAAGAATTCTTTTGGGTTGTAGTAACGCGTGGTGTTGGTCAGATCAATCACCAGCCCCACCTGCTCACCCACACACACGCGGGATTCGATTACACTCGGAATATGTTTGAGGAAAATCACCAGCCCCCCACCTGCTCCAGCACAACACAAGGTTAGAACAAGAAATAGACAAGCGCCGGCAAGCACGGACTTTCCTTTCCCGCTTGGCTCCTCTCTCTCTCTCCCTTCCTTTTACCACGAATTGCACATCTCGCTCATGTCATTTATTTAAATTTCTCAAAAGCGTCACACCACTGGCAGCCACTCTCCAACCCACCCCACCCCTCGGCACCGTGTAAATTTCTCTGCAGGCTCTTTAACTGCCTCAGCATCATCTCCTCATTCCACCTCTTGCGGCTCACACACCCCTCTTAGTACAGAGATATACACAGTTTCCCTTCCCCTTATTCACCACCACACCCTCACCACCATCGCCATCACCACCACCACCACCACGTACGTCTTTCTTCATGCTCCGCGTGTGCTTCATCACCACCTCTCCACGTTCCACCGCTTGTGTGTTGTGCTCGCATGCAAACCACGCTAACTGCATTGCATACATACAATCTCTCCCCCACCACCACCCCCACCCCACCCCTCCCACCACCACGTACGTCTTTCTTCATGCTCCGTGTGTGCTTCATCACCACCTCCACGTTCCACCGCTTGCCCGGCTCCACCACCTCCCTGAACGCCTCGTCCAGTGGCGCCTTGCAGGGAATGAGCAGCCCGATGGCCTCGCCCATAGAGGGGCAGTCGATCCACCCTGGTGGGGGGTAAGGAAGCAGGAAGACAAACGGAATCATCAGAACTTGAGGTGGAAAAACAAGCTGGTCTTTCCGGCTCCACCACCTCTCTAAACGCCTCCCCGAGTGGTGCCTTGGCTGGGATCAGCAGCTCAATGGCCTCGGCCATAGAGGGGCAATTCCTGAGGGGACAAGAGCGGAAAACAAGAGTAGTCAGCTCAGATCAGGGACAGGTGGAGATACAATACAAGCTGGACTTTCCCGATCCACCAGCTCTCTGGTCGCCTCCCCCAGCGGCACCTTGGCATGTATACATGTGCAAGTAGACGAGCCGTCTTGGTCATGAATGAGTGTAATAATAGCTCGAAATAAGTGTTACTCAAAAAGCTCATATACGTGTGTTCGTAACGGGAAGCTCATCTGATTCTATTTTGGATGCAACGTTGTTGGGTTGCATCGCAAACTGGCGCTGGCAAGACGTTCACCATGAAAGGTAAGACATAAACGTCACAGAATGGTTTCGTCTTACCTTCCATCGTGAACGTCTTTCCAGCGCCAGTTTGCTATGCGATTCAACAACATTGCGTCCAAAATAAAATCAGATAAACTTCTCAACACAAACACATGTATTTGAGCTTCTCTAATAACATTCCGAACTAGAACGCTAAATCGTTAGGTGCTCAAACCGTCATCGACTATCACGCTAGATTGTTTTGTTGTAGAATAACACATGAAGAGGGCCCTTGTCACCCAAGTGTCCGACCACCACCCATAGCCAAGTCACCTCCTCAGCTTCACCACAAATGGTCCCTCCCTCCACCCCCACGATCGCTACCACTAGAGGTGCCATTCCCGCCCACTCCACCTCAGCTCCTTCATGACCTCCCACAGAAATCCGAGGGTCCCCGCCAGTGGCACCATCGCCCGCACTCCTCACCCCCCTCCTTTTCTCCCCCACCCCCTGGTTTACCCCCTTCCTCACTGTGGCATGGTTACCCGCAGCCGCTTTCGGAACGCGCTCAATATCGGCAGTCGCAGCAATCGCATTGAGCCTGCGGCGCTGACAACCCGTCATTGCTTAGTCTCCCCACCCCCCCTCCCCCCCCCCCGTTCAGCCGAGGGTTCGCTTCCTCGTTTCCCGCTGTTTTTTCTCACCCCGTGTTTGAATTTCGCAATCATTTCAGCACTATATAGGCTACTAGGAAGTAGCGTTAGTAGAGTAGACAAATCCTAATCGAAACTTGCACCCTAGATCTCGAACTTAACTAACTCTAACCTAGATCTCGACCGCCCCTAAAATGTAATCTAAGATAAAGAAGTAAAGACGCCACTCGTTTGGCTGTGTCGGAGGTAGATGCTGGCTACAGATAACTATTAGGCCGCGACATGTTGGAAGGATGCTTCTAAAATGGAAGCCTAAAACTGCAATGTTCGCTTTTTATATATGAACACCCTCCCCAAATGTCGCGACGATTTATTTTCGAAACTCGCCGAGTCCAAAAGAACCTCATGAGTCCGATAAAAGCTCGCGCAAGGTGCGCGAGTTTCCAACGAGTTTAGAGAAACTCGCGGAGTAAAACTCGGCACGCATCGGCTGAGTTTTTCCAGCCGATCCTCGCACTCGTCACTCGTCCCTAGACGAGTGCAGGGAACGGGTCAAGATCTAAAACTCGTCCAAATGCACATTCCTTTTGGCGAGGATCAGCAGTCCCATGGCCTCGCCCATAGGAGGGCAGTCGATCCACCCTGGTGGGGAGGAAGCAGGAGAGCAAAAAACGTTGAAAAAGGTTAGGTGGAGGAAGAAAAAGGGAGGTTGCCCAGCTCTACGAGGTCTCTAAACGCGTCCCCTAGCTATAGCAGCCGAAAACGAGACACACTCAATGGTCATCTCCAATCGGGGATAAAGTGATGGTGTCTGAACTGATTGGGACGGACCATCAGGCAGGATTGCTTTTAAGTCGGTCGAACTGAACAGGTTACGGGAGATACCATCCAGCAGAACTGAACAGAACGGGACGTACCATCAGGCAGGGGCCCGCAGGATGGCCTTCTCTGACCCCCAGACGCTCGGTGCTCCGACCCGCCACCACCCTCCCCATGGTACCCGTTACCCCCTCCACCTCCACCACCGCCACCACCGAAACCAGCGCCAGCGCCGTCAGCGGCTCGCCTCTGGCGCGCTGATGGGCGGCCCTCCTTCTCCTCGCGCTCCATGTTCTTGCGCTTCATCATCAGCATCCGCTCCTGCCGCTCCTGCTCAGAGGAACACGGGGAAGCAGACAGGTGACAAGTGAGAGGTGAGAGGTGTGGGATCCCCATGGACCAGTAAGCCACCGCACTGATACGTGCACGTGGTCAGCTCCTCGCGCTGCTCCATGTTCTTGCGCTTCATCATCATCAGCATCCGCTCAGCTCCTGCCGCTCCTGCTCATGGAAACACGGAAACGCGGACAGGTGACAGGTGGCAGGTGACGTGGCAGGTGACTTATATGTGCGAACGCGTCAGGATTCCCGCTCACTCCTCTTCCTCTTCTTCACCAGCGTCCGCTCCCCTTGATTCTGAAGGAGGGTGAAGGGGGGAACACTTAATCCGGTTATCACTCCTTCTGAACTTCCTCCCGCTTTCCATGCCTCCGTTTTATCAGCAACCCCCCCCCCCCCCTATTCTTAATCGGCTGGTGAAACAGAGAAGGTAGCGGCGTTTTTCTTCTGTTTCTTTTCTCGGGCTGTATGAGCTTTCGCAAAAGAACCGTGCAGGTGCTGCTGGCCGAGCCTTTTCGGATTGACTCCAACTTCGAATTTGATTCTTTGCACACTAGCCTTTGCGAAAACTCCGAAACATAAGGATCTCCGTTCCTGTAAGGCAACCCTACATGCTTCAAGCATCATCCACGGCTGGACGGAGAAAGGTGTGCACGCGCAGATGTGAAAAACAGTGCACGAAAACGGGATATGAAGCGTTAATTTAACGGTGCCCTTGATTCTGCCACAAGGCAACATCTAGATTCTGAACGCCGTCCATGACAGCGCCTGTATTGCATTCTTCTATAACATACAGGTGCGCACATCGTCCCGTCTCGCTAATCCCAGACGAGGCTAAGCTCAGCCTCGAAACGCAAATTTGATTTCGCCGGCAATTGCGTACCCGCATGTACACCGCGGAAACGGACTCTTCGCCGCCATTTTGCTCCTCTTGATTCATGCTTGCAGACCTCTCCCCCCCTCCCAGTTAAGTCATAAAGCAGCGGAGGTACAACGCCTGCTAATAAGGTAATCTCGATGCGTTCCCAGTTTCCGATGGTATCTTGGCAAAAGGAGTCACGCAACCTAGGCCTAGCCCTGGTGACGGCAAATGCCGAAAAAGAGCTTTTGTGTTGAGAGTATATTCCGTTCCTGCTGACACCTCCTGGCAGACTCGAAGATGCATGTGGAAGCTCGAGAATCAATATATCTTCGCAAGTAGAAATGTTACAGGTGGTAACCAATCCCGTACTAACGAATAGGCGAAATGGGCAGAATAGTACGTGTTACATATGTGTGGTTATTCGGGTAAATCTGCATTAGGGAAAACGTGCACACTTCGCACAAGGGTGACTTACGGTATATATGTCTAGAACAAAATATTTTCTGATACACCCCGGAGTGCTGAGGTTTGCTCACCCCCAAACTTCCTAAGATCGGCACGAGATCTAAGTGGTGCAAACTGCTGGACTGGAGGTCAATCGATCAACGCTGATTCTCACCAGTAATGCGAAGCGAGTGTGCCACTTTCCTAAAACAAAATCAAAACTTACAACAAAATGGGTACCCAGAACGTCGGGGTAATCCCGAAACAAAACATGAACCCTCCTTGTCACAGTCTGCTTTCTCTCCCCGCCAATTTTCAGATTCCAGATTCTCAGCAACAAGACGGAACTCCCAAGGCTGGGAGCTTCACTTCTCCCAATTACTTTCCCATCTTCCTCTGCCATTCTTCCTCGCCACTTCCACATTCTCATCTCCGCATGTCCTTCATTCAGGGCTGATGATGCCGTGAAAGCCGAAGAGACTCTACGCTATCTCATCGCGTTTTCCGTAGTCGTTTTATTGCGATCGGTAGTGTCGCACAGTCTTAGCGATGGACGTGCGACGAGGGCACGCGACAGGCGGGAGGCAATCGCCTGACGGATCGGACCACGACGAGGCCAAGCGAAAGTCAGATTCAATTTTCGCTCCGCGATCGGCGGCGCAGAAGCGGCGACAGTTCGTCGCACAGGTCGCCATGTTCACCGTCGCAGCGGTCATTCTCATCATCATGCTCGCCAGACCGTCGCAGCCGACCAATCAGAGTAAGTCACTACCTTTTCCTTTCTTATCATTGATCAGAAGGAGCTTATCTCCCTCACTTACCAGATGCGCAGTCCTTAGTCAGCAATGCAGTTGTCTGGAGCATCAAAGGTCTCGTTCTTCTTAGACGAACCACTCCTACAGTTCTGACGCAGCATGCCTCTACAGTGCAAGGGGTAACGGCAGTGCGTATGGATCTGCCGACTGGAAAATGGTGTTGCAGCTTTCGAGGCGTCGCAGAATGCAGCTCCGTAAGCTGTTGAGCCTTTCCAGCGTGCTTCACGAGAGTGCGAGCGACGTCGACGTGTCCTCTTCTTCCCGTCGTTGTCTGTGCCATTCTCTCTCCTTGCTTCCTATGATCTCTCCTTTCTCCCCGCAATCGCTCAACCTTCTCCCGTATTATCTTGATCACGACGTCAAGGTCACTCCGTTCCGGCGTCGGATCTCGTCATTTCTCCTCCCGCACTGTGCCAATGCAATCCCACTTCTGAGTCGACTCAAAAATCGTCGAATCTCGTCGTTCTTTCTCTTTTCCTGCGACAATGCTTTGCCATGCAGGCGGGCCAGACGTCACGAAGAGCGGCACGGTGGGCCCAGCGGTTCAAACGACGGAACACGTACGTGAAATGGCTCGTCTTTTCATGGCGAGAGTACGCTGAATGCACAAAACTTGTTTGTGCGCGCGTAGCTGCTTGCGTGGCTGGCGGGGGTTGCATTGTATACGACGCGAAAGAGTAGACTCGAGCTTTTTCGAGCGTTGTACACCTGGCTGTACGCCTCTCTCGTCCACACCCGCGCCTTCGTGCATGTGCCTGGCGCCCAGGTCGCGCATACCAAAACCAAGTTGGTTTTGGAGAATCCTCAGACCCAACTTGTCTCCCTCATCCGCCTCCCTCATTCACTCCCGCGCTTTTGTGCATTTGACTGGCGCCCAGATCGCACAGACCGAGACCATATCAACGCCTCAACAACTGGCTCAGCCTGTTGCCGGGCAAACCACGCACTGTAAGCCCCTGGGGAGAAGAGAGGAGAGGAGGGAAGGGGTGGGATAATGGGGATAATTGAGTTGAAGAGAGGAGTGGAAAGCGGTGGAAGAATGGGACTGGTGGGAGGGGATGGTGGAGCAGAGGAGAGGAATGGAGCCAGGGAGAGAACAAGGGAGAGGAGGGAGTGAAACGTGGAAAGTAGTTTGGTGGGGGAGCAAGGGGCGGAGGGGGGAAAGGTGTGAGAGGACACCAAGATAAGGGGACATTGGATGGGTGGGAAGGCATGGAAGCATAAGTTCTGGGGCATGGAAGTATGGATACTTCGATTGTATTTTCTGGGGCCATAGTGCCAACATGCCATCATGCCATCATGACATCATGCCATCATGCCATCATGCCATCATGCCATCATGCCATCATGCCATCATGCCATCATGCCATCATGCCATCATGCCATCATGACATCATGCCATCATGCCATCATGCCATCATGCCATCATGCCATCATGCCATCATGACATCATGCCATCATGCCATCATGCCATCATGCCATCATGCCATCATGCCATCATGACATCATGCCATCATGCCATCATGCCATCATGCCATCATGCCATCATGCCATCATGCCATCATGACATCATGCCATCATGCCATCATGCCATCATGCCATCATGCCATCATGCCATCATGCCATCATGCCATCCGTATTCCGTCCGTTCCACCACCAGCAGTCACAGCAGGCGGGGGGGAGGACGCGCCGAGCCTGTTGGAGCTAGCAAGGCAGGAGGACCACGCACTCCCTGCATCGGCGCAACGGTTGACCCGACAGCAGGTGAGATGGAGTGGAGTGATGCGGAGCAGGCAAGATGCTGTGGAATAGTGTGGCAGGCAGGCAGGGTTGAGGCAGTCAATGGCATGCAAGCAAAGCGGCCTGATCGAGCAAGACAGGAGGACCACGCGCTCACTGCATTGCACAGCAGGGTTGCCAGCAGCAGGTGAGATGGAGTGGAGTGGAGTAGCGCGTAGCAGGAAGGAGCACTCTTTCATTCCCCACCCTGGTTTTCCATGTCTACAATGCAACGTTTCTTGCCTTGGCTCTCTGCTGGAACAGTGCTCCCTGCTTGAAATGCACTCCTCACCACCCATTCTTTTCTGTGGGTGTGTGTGCACATGCATGCCTGCAAGCGTTCCAGCTGGACGTAGCACAAGCGGAGAGAGCCAGAGGTCACGCTGCTGATGCTGCTGCTGGCAGTGGCGCCACTGCTGCTGCTACTGTGGAAGGAGGTGATGCCGCTGCTGCTGTGGGTGGGGAGGCAGGCAGAGAAGCAGGGCAGGGTGGGCAGGCGTATCCCAATAAGGAGCCACAGCGATTCCCCGAGAGGGATCATCAGCAGCAGTTTCCGGAGAGGGAGCCTCAGCCATTCCCTGAGAGAGAGCATGAGCACTTGCTTGAGAGGGGGCATCAGCAGCACTTCCCTGAGAAGGTGCCGCATGGCAGCGGTGTGTTTGGGGAGGAGGGAGTGGTTCTTGATCGGCCAGGGGGAGAAGAGGAGGGGAGGACTGAGGTGAAGGCGATTGTGGGGCAAGGGAAGGAGGATGAGGATGAGGATCGGAAGGATGGTGATGAGGGTGACGAGGAGAAGGAGGAGAAGGAGGAGAAGGAGGAGAAGGACGCGGGAGGGAAGAGTGAGGGAGGGCAAAAGGGGGATGAGGAGGAGAGTGAGGAGGGGAGTGGAGAGGGGGAAGCGGGAGGCAAGAAGGAGAAGAAGGCAGGGGATAAGGGTGAGAGCGAGGATGAGGAGGACGGGGAGGATGATGAAGAGGATGATGAGGAGGAAGGGGGTGGGAAGGAAGGGAAGAAGGGACGCAGTGAAGCAGGTACAGACAGCGGGAAGAAAGCGCAGGATGAGGAGGGGGAGAAAGAAGACGAGGAGGACGAGGAGGAGAAGGAGGAGGAGAAGGAGGCGAAGGAGGAGGCGAAGGAGGAGGCGAAGGAGGAGGCGAAGGAGGAGGAGGAGGGCTCGCATAGCGGTGGAGAAGGAGGAGGGGAGGAGGACGAAGGGGCTGGACCAGCAGATGACAGTGCTGCTGCTGCTGCTGACAGTGGTGGTGACGGTGGTGGCAGTGAGGGGGAGAGTGGCAGCAGCGGGGGTGGGGAGGCCACAGGGGAGAGTGCGGGCTCGTCGGAACAGCAGTCGGTTGCTGCCAAAGAAGTGGTGGGTGCTGCTTATCCGCTCATCTGTTTCCCTCGTACGTCCAATGCTTATCCGCTCACCAATGGGTTCCTTCTGGCCCTCTCATGCTTCCACCCTCGCCCTTCACCCCTGGCCCGTGTTTCCTTTCCCATGAATCCTCAGCCACAAGATTGGCTGGCAGCAGACCTTTTCCCTTCAGCAATCTCCGTCCTTCCCCTCCTGTCGCAGAAAGCAACTCCACCAGCAGTGGCAACCAGCGGTTCTTTCCCTTTTGGCATGACTGTTCTGTTCCTCTAATCTCCTCTTCCCTCCTACTCCCTCCATGCACAAGCTTCCCCTTCTTTTCTCCAACGGTCCTTCTCACTGAATATAATAAACGGTACAGCAAGTGTCCTTCTTTTCTCCCTCTCCTCCTTCCCTCTCTCCCCCATTCCCTCGTCCCACCTTCCCCATCTCTTCGCTCCTCCAGAAAGCGGAGGCAGCAGCAGTGGCAGCGGATCCAGTGGGCGAGCCGATAGACGTGGAGGGGTGTCGCGGGCGCACGGTGTACATACACAAGCTGGCTCAGGCGTACAACCGCGGGCTGGTGGGGCAATGTGCCACGCTGCTGCCCTGGTTCTCCATCTGCCCGCACTTCCAGGTGCGCCCCTTTGTGGGTGATGGGTGTTCTGGGGTATGGGCATTGAGGGGTATGGGTGTGTGTGCACCTCTCTGCTACTCTGCTTCTCCATCTGCTTGCACTCATGCACCCCTTACATGCCCGCATGTCTAGTCTCATGTCTTATGTCCCCCTCTGCATGCCTCATATTGGAGTTATGAGAATTATCCTGAGAATCCTTTCGAAATTTCTCAAAAGTAACTCCAACCAACATGCCCTCCTCACATGCCATGCCCCCGTGTCTAATCTCATGCGCTAGCCCCCACTCATATTGCTCTGCATGTCCCATTCACATGCCCCCATGTGCTTGAGAAGAACGACGGCTTGGGGAAGCGAATCCGCAACAGCAAGCTGCTTCTACCCTCTGGCCGATGGTTCGAGACGCACATGGTACGCACTGCACCACGTTGCACTTCACCGCACTGCACTGCACCTCACCGCACTGCACCGCACCTCACTGCGCTGTACATCATGTGTCACAAGTTCATAATCCACTCTCACATGCACATGCCATTGTTTTTATTTCAGAGAGCGAAACATCGTGACTTGATAGCTGCCACCTGCACATGCCCTTTTGACACCTGGCTCTCTTATCTTCCCCAACACTCTTGTTAAATACGCCCTGGAACTGGTGTTCCGCTACCGCCTGTGCAAGGCGTGCAAGTGCATCACCAGCGACCCAGACCGAGCAGACGTTTTCTTCACCCCCTTCTACGCCTCTTCTCCTTCTTGTCTCTCCCCTTGCTCCGCCCAGTACGCCCTGGATTTGTTGTTTCATTACAGGCTGCGCAAGGCATACACGTGCATCACGAGCGACCCAGACAAAGCAGACCTGTTCTTCATCCCCTTCTACTCATTGTCTCCCTTCTCTCACCACTCCTGCTCCACCAGTACGCCCTGGAGATGGTGTTTCACTACCGTCTGCGCAAGGCATACAAGTGCATCACGAGCGACCCTGACAAAGCAGACCTCTTCTTCATCCCCTTCTACGCGTCGCTGGACGTGACTCGCTGGCACTTCGCCAAGAACGCGTCTCTCGACGACCGTGACCGCATGCACGACGGGCTCGCCAAGTGGCTCATGAGGAGGGAGCACTTCAAGGTGTGAAGCGGTTAGAGGTGGTACGGTATGGTATGTGGGGGTGTACACTGCGCTGCCCTGTGTGTCGTGCCCGTGGACACAACGGCATGCACGATGGGCTCGCCACGCCAATGTGCGAAGTGGTTAGAGGTGGTACGGTATGGTACGTGCGTGAACCCGCCAGCACTGGTTTTTAAGTGTGCTCCTGTCTGCTCTGCGTGTTGTTCGACACAGACCACTTTATAGTGCTGGGGCAGGGCTCGTGGGGCTTGAGGCGGTGAGAGGCGTTCAGGGCCTCAGTGGTGTGGCACTTGTGTGCCTCTTCTGTTATCCGTTTGTGCTGCAGAAAAGCAGGGGAGTGGACCACTTTATAGAGTTGCTGGGGCAGGGCTCGTGGGACTTGAGTTGAGGCGCATCTTTCTGCAACTTTCTGTGTCTGTGATGGTCCCTTTTTCTCTCTGCAGAAGCGCAACGGAGCAGACCACTTTATTGTGCTGGGGCAGGGCTCGTGGGACTTCAGGCGATCAGAGGGGTCTCAATGGGGCAACCGGCTGCTGCTGCTGCCCGAGATGAAACACGTGAGTGGCGAGGAAGGGGATGAAGGGGAATGGGAAAGTGGAGGAATGGAAGGGATCAAACACGTGAGCTGAATGGAAAGATGCACCACCCGGAGTTCAAAGACTTGTAGTCCTGTCACAGAGCGAGTCAAGCACTATCAGTTGTGTATATGTGAGCCAGGAGGCGCTGTTTTGGGCGCCGCACCCCACCCTCATGTGGTCGTGCTTCTTCCATTACCCCCAATCTCTGTCTCGCACACCTCGTGGCATTCTCTCCTTCATACTCACAGATCCAACCCTGCCCCTAAATCCTCCCTGCTTCAATGCGCCTCTGCACATTCCTTCCTTCCTTCCTATCCCGAGCCTCACAGGTGACGAAGCTGGTGCTAGCGGCAAACCTGTGGGAGGAGACAGAGATCGGCATCCCCCCCCTCACCTTCTTCCACCCGCGCTGGGAGAAGGACTACAAGGTGAGCACCCAGGGCTGAAAGGAAGTTCAACGGTGGATGAAATGGGTTGAACGGGCTCCTATACCTCGTCCAACAGATCGAGATGGCACGCAGACATGGCAGTGCATTGCAGACTCACACAGGCGCACCCCCCTGATGACTTCTGAGTCGACTCAAAAGACAAGCGCATTCCCCTGGTGACAGCCACACATGCCATGCTGGAAGGCATTTCCATCCTTATGCCCCACTGCCACATCCACATTCCCCCTTGGTGACATTCTTCCCCCCTCCCACCACCCCACTCACCATCCCTCTGACCATTCCTCCCACCGTGCAAACGTGGCAGCGAATAGCAGGGCCGCACCGGCACACGTCGCTGCAGCACAGGTCCATGTTTGAAGCCAATTGCATCATCATACCCCCCTGTCACATCACACTCTCCCCCTCACTCCACCCATCACCACCTCTCACCACCCTTCACCACTCCTCTCACCGTGCAGACGTGGCAGCGCATAGCAGAGTCGCACCGGCGCACATCGCTGGCGGCGTTTGCATCGCTGAGGGACGCCTTCAGCAAGCACAACAAGGCGCTGGGGCGGCAGTGCAAGAAGGCCAAGGCGTGCCGGTGAGTGCGAGTGTGTGCGGGTGCTCGCGCCCTGGGGTGATACCAGGGGCAGCAAGAGAGGAATCGACTAAACAGTGCTCGTTTGCATCACTAAGGGTGCCCTGGGGTGATACCAGGGACAACAAGAGACGCCTTCAGCAAGCACAACAAGGCTCTGGGCAGGCAGTGCAAGAAGGCCAAGGCGTGCCGGTGAGTTGAGCAAGGCAAGGCGTGCCGGTGAGTGCGAGTGCGTGTGAAGTGATGTGATGGGAGGGCGCGAATGAGGGGCAGCAAGAGGACTCTACAGTGGTCGTTCGCACCACTCAGAGACGCCCCACCGCCTTAAAACAATGCGCTGGGGCGGCAGTGCAAACATGCCAAACCAAGGCATGCCTGTAAGTGCGACTTTTGAGACGTCTCAAAAGGCGGCAGTGCAAGCATGCCAAGCCGTGCCTGTAAGTGCAAGTGTGAATCTTACTTCATTCCGTCTGTCCAGTCCGTTTTCTCCCCTATCCCCATCATCCACCACAGGTACTTGGAGTGGGTGGTTGGAGGGCATATTTGCATGCGCCCAGAGGTACCTGGAGGTCCCTATGGGTCCCTATGGGTACCTGGAGGTCCCTATGGGTCCCTATGCCAAGCCATCTGCACTGCTGTAAACTATCCTCTCTCTAAACCTCTTCTACCAACAAGGCAGCAACGATGGAGGGTGTCTTCGTTCTCTTCATGCCGTGGACGATGCTGCCTTATGCCTTGGCGCGGATTGTCTTCTTTAACCCATGCACAACATCCCACCTCCTTCCCCCACCGCAGATACTTAGAGTGTGTGGAGTGGAGGACATCTGCACGCGGCCAGATGCCGCCTTCTGCTGTGGTGTGGATAGCTCTCTCTGACAAACAGGCAACACCCTCACGTACCTCTTCAAACCCCTCACCACCACCAGGTACCTGGAGTGCGTGGAGGATATCTGCACGCGCCCAGAGGTGCTCATGGACCTATTCACCGATGCTGCCTTCTGCATCGTGCCATGTACCATCTGCCTCGTACCATCAGCCTGACTGTCACATACCTCTCTAAACCCCTCACCACCGCCACATACTCTCTATTCTCCAGGTACCTGGAGTGCGTGGAGGACATCTGCACGCGGCCAGAGGTGCTCATGGATCTCTCTACCGATGCTGCCTTCTGCATCATACCGTCCGGCTCATGCGGTCAGCCTGACTGTCAAGTACCCCTCCGAACCCCTCACTACCCCTCACCCCTCCTGTCAGGTACCTGGAGTGCGTGGAGGATATCTGCACGCGGCCAGAGGTGCTCATGGATCTCTTCACCGATGCTGCCTTCTGCATCATACCGTCGGGCCACACGGGCGCCCGCAGAGCTGCCTTTGATGCCATCGTTGCCGGATGCATCCCCGTCTTCCTCGACTCCTTCGTGCCCTCCCAGGTGCGCTGAGCATAGGTGCCCTCCCAGGTGCGCTGAGCATAGGTGCTATATCAGGTGCGCTGAGCATAGGTGCCCTCCCAGGTGCGCTGAGCATAGGTGCCCTCCCAGGTGCGCTGAGCATAGGTGCTATATCAGGTGCGCTGCACATGTGTTCATTGAGCCCGCAGAGCTGCCTTCGACACCATCGTTGCTGGCTGCATCCCCGTCTTCCTCCACTCCTTCGTGCCATCTCTCCCTCCACCCCTCCTTCTCCCTTCCCCTGCCTCACAGTACAAGTGGCACCTACCGGCCAACAGCAGCACCTACTCGGTGACGCTGAGTGAGAAAGCGGTGCTGGCAGGGAAGGTTGACGTCATCAAGGAGCTCGAGAAGATTCCAGGAAAGGAGGTAAGCAGGGCCAGGGCGAACTGTCTGTATGTGCTTGGTTCGGTCGGTCGGTGCGTCCCACTCTTGGTTCGGTCGGTGTGTCCCACTCTTGGTTCGGTCGGTGTGTCCCACTCTTGGTTCGGTCGGTGTGTCCCACTCTTGGTTCCTTTCCTGAGTGCAAAGGCTCACAGTGTTGACTCTATGGTCCATGTCAAGATAGAGTGCATTTGTGGTTTCTTGTTTGTAGCTGTTACTCAAGTCACTGTTACGCATGTCACTGTTACGCATGTCACTGTTACGCATGTCACTGTTGTGCAGGCTACCATTGAGCATATACATGGCACTGATGCATGTGTAATTGAGGAGCATGTTCTGACCCGTGGCACATCTGCATCTCGAGAACAGCCATCCCATCAGTGGTGTATTATGTATTACCACCATGCATGTATCTACCCCATGCAGCAGAGGCAAGACCCCCTTCACATCGCCATCGCACCTTTCCCTCCCCTTTACCCTCCCCTTACTCTACGTTTCACTCGCTCTAGGTGCGGCGCATGCGGTTGAGAATCATAAGAGAGGTGTTGCCAGCCGTGGTGCACAACCACCTGCGCATGCACCTCTTTTCCCTCCCCCTTTCTTTCCCATGTTTACTCCTCGCACATTTCCCTCCCCACATGTGTGCCCATTGCTCTAGGTGCGGCGAATGCGGTTGAAGATCATAAGGGAGGTGATGCCGACAGTGGTGTATAACCATCCGCGCATGCACCCCATGCAGCACAGGCGAGATGTTTCTTGTATCCCCCTCCCCTCTTCCCCTCCCCTTTGCACTCCCTTATTCGTTCCCCTTTCCGCCTTTCCTTCCCCTTTCTCACTAGGTGCGGCGCATGCGGTTGAAGATCATAAGGGGGGTGATGCCGGCAGTGGTGTACAACCATCCACGCATGTACCCCATGGAGAACAGGCGAGATGCCTTTAAATTTGCCCTCCCCTCTTTCCCTCCCACTCCCTTATTCGTTCCCCTTTCCGCCTTTCCTTCCCCACTCTCTCTAGGTGCGGCGAATGCGGTTGAAGATCATAAGGGAGGTGATGCCAGCAGTGGTGTACAACCATCCACGCATGTATCCCATGGAACAAAAGCGAGACGCCTTTGATATTGCCATGGAGGAGGTGGTGAGGCGAGTGCAGCGTAACAAGCAGGCAGCTGCTGCGGCCTGAGACTGTCGGGGTTTGATTTGTTGCTGGGTACCACGTGTGTATTGTGTTGATCCGTGTTGATCCTGTATGAATCTCACAAGATTATAGAAAGGCAAAACCTAGTACTTCTTTTCATTGTGCTTCGGAATTGACTCGGAGGGAAGATGCCACACGCACTGAAGACAGTTGTTGTTGGTGCTCCAGCTACCGGCAAGAAGCTTGGTTCCGACTCGTTTATCTACAAGAAGGAATGAGGGGGGAGGAAGAAGGTTGGAATTTGGACGAGGGGGCTAGCTGGCTGGTTGGTTAGAAGAAAGCACAACATTGGAATCTCTACCATCTTCCTAAGTACCAGATATTTTTTTACACATGCACACTGTATCTTCACAACCCAAACCTATTTGATACGATGGCCTTACCTTCTACAGAGCCTTTTACTTTCCGCCCACCCCATTGACCAATACTCATTGCCCGTCATTTCAGAGGTAAGTGAATGGTTTCTAGTTGGCTAACCTCTACAGTGCAATCCTAACGTGCACTAATCGCTGCAAAAATTACAAACGAGTCAACCTTGTTGACCCAGTGCCTGTGCACTGCACGTTTTCGGCTGTTAGTTGGGAATGGTTTGTGCCCGCCTTCGTGCCTTGCCTGGTGGGCGGTGGGCTGTGCCCCACGGGGCCCACACCGTTCCACTCATGGCCGCCGGACCGCCAGGTGATCCACCCACCTTGTCAGTGTACTGTACACCAGACACTGTACAACACTCCGATTCTTCCACCACACACCGCCGATTGCCACCACGCGTTTCGAAGAAGTCAGAAGCAGTGTGGCGAGCGTACGTACGTCCACGTGGTTCACTCAAAGTGTTTTGCTCCTCATGAAACGAGCCATCAGGCTTCATCAACTTGAGAGATCTCCCCGAACCGAACTTGAGGATTCCGAACCTCGCACCAGAAATTGAGGGCCAGAACACCAGGGTAGAGTTTTTGTCGCCAAAACTCGCAAACCACAACATTCAGGTTACCACGCTCACGACTTCCAAACCTTACAACAACTGGCAAAACCTGAGGTCCAAACCTCAGGCTGGCTTGCTGGCTCTTGGGTTTCAGAAACGACAGCTACCACCACCGCCGCCTTCATTCTCTCGATTGCTGTGCGGTACACAACCAGCGTACGTACAGTACGGTTTGCTGCTCCATCTGTACGGTATACCACCTAGTAGCCATGGCGGTTTCAAACTTCGTTTGACCGTCCGTGTTCGACGCTTGTTCGTGCAGCAGTGCCAGCTTGTCAGCTGCGCCATGTTTGAAATCAGCCAACTAGCTTGCTCGTTGCCTCTTATCTGTCTCACCCCTCCAGCTCAACAGTGCTTTGCTTTCCCGCAACCTAATTCCAAGGTCCTCGGCCTTTACACAGTTATCGTGGACCTTCATATAACTCTTATGTTGCGGAGCCTCAGTTTCCCTATTAATTATTCCGAGAGCTGTCGTCCTTGAGGGGAGCGATAGTTTATGTTCTTCGCGAATCGTTCGCAGAGTTAGCTACATTGACCCGCAGTGACTGAGTATTTTTTCTCACATTGCCTCCTGTTGCCTTCCCAACTTTTCACTCTCGCGGGTATATTAATCGCCCCTGCTAGTTCCGAAGGTCATTCCCGCACCTACCGCATTTCCTCGTTACATTGTCTCGTCCATCTTCTATAAAATCATCACCCGTTGCCTCATCTATCCCACAGATGGTTTGGAGGTCACTAGAAGCACCGCATTGCAGCCAATAACCTAGAAAACCCGTATCAAGTGTCCTATACTTGAACTGCCTAGTCCGAGGGCTTTAAGATGCAGTACCACTCGGAGCAGCCCTCAGGGCTCCCCCCGCACAAGAGCGGAAGCCGCCGCCGCGCCACGGTCGCGTCCGTCAGCCCGCTCGAGCTGCGCCTGCAGGAGTTTCACATGGTCGGGGGAAGCGGAAGCGGGGGAGGCGGAATTGGGGGAAGCGCAATCGAGCGCGGAAGCAGCAAGCATGCAGGGTCCGGCGTGGGTGTAGGGTTACCCGTTCGCAGCGCGTCGCCGCACAGTGTCGCCAACCACGCGGAGTCGCCCGGCCACATGTCGGACGGGCGCGGCTCCAGCAGTCACTCGAGCCACGAGGGGCGCCGCCGGCGGAAATCCTCTGATAACGTCGCCGTCGAGGCGCGGGCCGCGTTGGCCGGTCTTAGTCTTTCCGGTTTAAGCGGTGGGTACGGGGCGGTCCCTACAGGTACGGGGAACAGCACGAACGGGGGGCGAAGCAGAAGCGGCGCAATGGGCGGCGCGGCGAGACAGCCGACGCTGGAGTCGATGCGAAACGGGGTTAACAACAGCAGCAACAGCAGCAGTATCAATAGCGTCGTCGATCCGCGATTACCGCTGGTCAACACCCCCGACTCCATACCGTCAGATGCGGACAAGCCGCGGTTTCCGTTAAAGCCATCCGTGAACGCGGCGCAATTTCCGCCGCAAAGCGCGGAGTTAGCGGCTGCGGCGGCGGCTTTGGCGGCGGCTGCCGGCGGAGTCGCGTATTGCAAGCCGCGGTACCAGTTCTGCCCGAATTGCGGGTTTCAGTTAGTAGAAAACCCGATAATAGAGCCCATCTTAAAGCCCGTTGTACCCGCTATGGCGGAGGAGGAGACGGATTCGGAACAAGACTGCGACGACGACGCGAGCGAGGTATCTGTGCCACGTGTCAAAGCTCCATTGGCGAACGCCAAGGCGAAAACCAAGAAGGGGAAGAGCCATGCTGAAAAAGAAAGGCCACGCAGCCGGCGGTCTTCCGCGGAGCACAGTAGCAGCGGCGGGGGTGATTCCGACGCCGGCGGAGCGGGCGGAGCTTCCGCCGCGGGGAGAGCGGGAAGCGACGCGGAAGAGCCTGGCGCGCGGAAGCCGCCCCCCGCGTTTCCCCCGTCCGCGTCTTCCGCAGGGAAAGAGATTGAGGGGAGCCGCATGGACCGGCTGAGAGCGCCGGAGGTGGGGCAGCGGCAGGTGCTCCGCCACATGGAGAAGGGCGGCGGAGCGGGCGCGGGCGGCGGAAAGGGGCGCCATCGGCGCATCGGGAGCGTGGATCATAATATTTATTCCGCCGCCATGCCGCTCACGAAGGGGCGGCTGGCGGGCGGCGCGGGGGCAGCGGCGGGGAGGGATCAGGGTTACGGGGATGCGGAGGGGAGAGGGATGGGCGCGGGACGCGCGGGGATGAGGGGGATCGCGTCTCCCGTTCAGGAGGATGACGGGGAGGGGACGGAGCGCGGCTCGCCGACGGAATCCGTCGCGTTGTCTGACGTGTCCGCGGCTACGGGGCGCGACGCGCCAGGTGGCAGCGCGATCGGCGGCGCGAGCGCCGCCAGCGCCGCGATTTCCGCCCACAGAAAACGGCTCGGGATCGGGGGCGACGGGGGGAGCGAGAGGGGGAGCGAGCGGGGGAGCGAGAGGGGGAGCGCGGCGGGTTCGCCTAGGGGGGAGTCTGGAGGCGCAGGGTCTCCGCGGAGATCCGCTATAGGGCTGAAAAAGCTGCAGCTAAGAGTGGAAATCGGGGCAGATGATAGCGGGGATGAGGGCAGGGAGGTCAAACTGGTGGCGGTAGGGCCTCCCGCGGGGAAGGCGGGCGGAGGGGGAATGGGGGGAGAAGGGGCAGGGGGAAGCGGAGCAGGGGGCGTGGGGAGAGGAGTGCGGGGGGTGGCGGGGATAGGATCGGTGAAAGAAAGGTCTGGGCTGAGGAGGGAGGGTAGTGGGGTGAGAGGGCTTGGGGGGGTTGGGTCGGGTGGGGGAGCGTTGGGTGGATCTGCAGCAGCAGCAGCAGCAGCGCCGTTGGCTGTAGCACCAGCAACTGTAGCACCAGTGACCGTAGCCCCAGTGGCTGTAGCGGGGCCGGTGGCGGCGCTACAGAAGGGCGCGCACCGGCGCATCTCCTCATGGGTGGACGGGGGCAGTCTGCGGCACACAGACTTCATTCTTCGCAAGCCGTACCGCGAGGTCACCGAGGTGTTTGACGTGCAAGAAGAGGAGCTGGGCGTGGGGCAGTTCGGGGTGATTAGATCGTGTGTCAATAGGATGACTGGCGCGCTGCTGGCATGCAAGACCATCAGCAAGGAGCGCATTGTGGTGAGTGCTTGCTTGTAAGGGAGGAGAGGGAGGAAGGGAGGGCAGGGAGGGGAGTCAGGGGATGTGACGGAGGTGTTTGACGTGCAGGAAGAGGAGCTGGGCGTGGGGCAGTTCGGCGTGATTAGATCGTGCGTGAATAGGATGACTGGAGCACTCTTGGCGTGTAAAACCATCAGCAAGGAGCGAATCGTGGTGAGTCCCTGCTTGGGCTGGTTCAGGATGGGTTGGGATGGGTTTGATAGTGCTGGTGGTGCGTGCACAGGTGGGGAAGGGCTGGGCTGGGCTGGGATGTATTGGGCCGGGCTGGACTTGGGCTGGTTCAGGGTGTGTTACAAGCGCAGATTGAACGAAGCACCTCTGAAGCTGATTTGTGATGTTGACGGGGCCGATATTCTAGGTGCGTAATAAATGCGCTGATTAGTGATGATGACAGGGGCCTGGCTTGACAGACATAAGCAACTATTAATACCAACAAACATGTTTCAGTGCTAGTGGTGCAGGCATGGCATGGCATGGCATGGGCATGGGCATGGGCATGGGCATGGACATGGGCATGGGCATGGATGGACGTTGGACTGACTGATTGTCATACCATGTTGCCGTGTCCACTGATGGATCATGCTGCGTGACATTATAGCGAGATGTCTTTTTAGTAAACTCAAAAGTCATCTCGACTTGGCTGGTTGGCCAGGGTAGCGGCCATGGTGCTGCTGTGTCCCTCTGATGGGTCATGCTGTCCCAATCCAACCACCATTGCCGGTTGTTGAATATGGCCGTGATGGCATGGGGTGCGATTCATCTTTTGAGACGTCTCAAGATTGGGGTGCAATTTATGCCCAATTTGATTTGGCATAGGGTGCGATTTATGCGGTCCCAATGATGTCTGAAGAACGAGGAGTGCAAGGAGGTGCAGCTGATGCAGCCCCCCTTCACCCCACCCCACCCCTCCACACCACTGCAGTGCCCAGAGGACGCGGAGGACGTGCGCAAGGAGGTGCAGCTGATGCAGCCCCCCCTTCGCCCCACCTCACCACACCCCTACCCACCCCTCCACACCACTGCAGTGCCCAGAGGACGCGGAGGACGTGCGCAAGGAGGTGCAGCTGATGCAGCAGCTGAGGGGCCACCCCAACATCATCGACCTCTACGAGACGTTTGAAGACAGCAAGGTGAGATGAGGGTGGTTAGGGCGTGTGTGTGTGTTGTGTGGGAGGAGTTGCAGGGTGGTGCGGTGGATTCATGATGGCCGATGGAGGGCAGCAGCTGACGGGCCACCCCAACATCATCGACCTCTACGAGACGTTTGAAGACAGCAAGGTGAGCTGAGGCACCCCACCCACGCTACCCCACCCCACCCCACCCCACCCCACCCCATCCCACCCCAACATCATCGACCTCTATGAGACATTCGAGGACAGCAAGGTGAGGGTGCGTGTGTGTGTGATGTGGTAGGAATCGCACGGTCAGCAGAGGTACCCCACGCCACCCCACCCCACCCTATTTCACCCCACCCCGACATACATCATTGACCCATACTTGACTTGAGGACAGCAACGAGAGGAGAGAGAGGGACGACTTTGAAAAGGGGGTCTGGGGAGAGCAAGGTGAGAGAGAGGATAAGCTGGGATAATCTTCAATTCAATCAAGTGAACACGTTGGAAGTCGACATGGATTGGAAGCATCAAATCGACGTGGACAGGGATAGATAATATGTATCAAGCTGGTAAAGGCAATGTGATCATGTGATGATAAGCTGGTAAAGGCAATGTGATCATGTGATGATAAGCTGGTAAAGGCAATGTGATCATGTGATGATAAGCTGGTAAAGGCAATGTGATCATGTGATGATAAGCTGGTAAAGGCAATGTGATCATGTGATGATAAGCTGGTAAAGGCAATGTGATCATGTGATGATAAGCTGGTAAAGGCAATGTGATCATGTGATGATAAGCTGGGAATTTGGTGAAATTGGATGACTGGAGGGGATGGAGACCTTTAGGGGATTCTTTAACTCGTCCCCCTATGGCACCATTCCCTGGCAACATGTGATGTGCATCAATCAGGTGATGATCGGCCTTCTTCTCAATCAGGTGATGCTGGAAAGCAGGTGATCAGCTCTACTCCTGGAAATCTATAGAGCATCACCTGCAAGATCCGCAGAGGAAGTTCTACTATGCTGCAACTCCACTCCACTCCACTCCACTCCACTCCACTCCACTCCACTCCACTCCACTCCACTCCACTTCACTCCACTCCAGACAACCCCACTCGCACAAGGTGGATTATGCGTTTGTTTGTGGCCCTCAATTGCACTCCCTATTTCTCCTCCTCCCTCCCGCCCTCCCCTCTTTTACACCTCCTCTTGTCAACCCCCATAGCACATGCTCCTGGCGATGGAGATTTGCAAAGGTGACGAGCTTCATTGCCACTTCAACGCCCTCTCTCCTCCACTTCACTCCACCTCACTCCACCTCACTCCACCTTTCTCCACCTCTTTCCACCTCTCCTTCCCATTCCCCCCCCCCCCTTCCCAGGGCAGCATGTGCATCTGGTGATGGAGATCTGCAAGGGCGGGGAGCTTCAAGTTCACTTGCCACCTCCCATTCTCCACCCTGACTCCCTTTCCTTCCCCCCCACCCCCCCTCCCTCCCCCCCCAACCCTCCCCCCACCTTTCCCCTCCCCCCAGCACGTGCATCTGGTGGAGACCTGCAAGGGCTGGGAGCTTTCCTGTCACTTCAATGCCCCCTCTCCATCTCTCTTCACCACTATCCATCTCTCTCTCTCTCCCCCCCTGTCACCCCCCTTCCCTCCCGGCCAGCACGTGCACCTAGTGATGGAGATCTGCAAGGGAGGGGAGCTGTTTGACCGCATCAAGCTGAGGGGGCAGTACAGTGAGCGCAGCGCCGTGTGTGTGTGTGTGTGGGTGTGTGCGTGTGTGTGGGTGTGCGCGTGTGTGTGTGTGTGCACGCTTCCAAATCCCACTCTCCCTCATTCTCCTCTTCCCTCTCTTGCCCCACTGCCCCTCACTCACCCTTCCCCTCCCCCCTCTCGCAGCACGTGCACCTGGTGATGGAGATCTGCAAGGGAGGGGAGCTGTTCGACCGCATCAAGCTGAGGGGGCAATACAGCGAGCGCAGCTTTACTGCCTTACTAATGCCCTCTCTTCGCCCCTCGTCACCCCCTCCCCCCCTCCTCCCGTTTCCCCTCAGCACGTGCACCTGGTGATGGAGATCTGCAAGGGCGGGGAGCTGTTTGACCGCATCAAGCTGAGGGGGCAGTACAGCGAGCGCAGCGCGGCGCTCGTGTGCCAGACGCTGGTGGAGGCGCTGCTGTACTGCCACTCCAATGGCATTGCTCACCGCGATGTGAAGCCGGAAAATATTCTGTTAATGCATAAGGACGACGACACGAATATTAAAGTGATTGACTTTGGCGTCGCCACGCGATTCAGACACGGTACGCCACGCCATGCACAATATGAACATTGGTCGGTTGGTGTGGCATGGCATGGCATGGCATGGCATGGCATGGCATGGCATCGCATTGGGCGCTCGTGTGTCAGACGCTGGTGGAGGCGCTGCTGTACTGCCACTCCAATGGCATTGCCCACCGCGATGTGAAGCCCGAGAACATTCTCTTAATGCACAAGGACGACGACACGAATATTAAAGTCATCGACTTTGGTGTTGCCACGCGATTCAGACACGGTATGCCGTGAACATTGGTGGGTGGGGTGGAGTGGAATGGAATGGAATGGAATGGCATGGCATTGCAGTGTGCGCTCGTGGAGGTGCTGCTGTACTGCCACTCCAACGGCATTGCCCACCGCGATGTGAAGCCCGAGAACATTCTCTTAATGCACAAGGACGACGACACCAACATTAAAGTGATTGACTTTGGCGTCGCCACACCCTACTACATGGCCCCCGCGGTCCTCACCAGCTCCTACCAACGTGTTCCCAACTCTTCCACTTCCCGCTTGCCTCTTTCTGCCCTCCCTCCTCCCTTTCGCCCTCCTCTAACAGGCGAGCCTCTCACCGAGTTCGTAGGCACGCCTTACTACATGGCGCCAGAGGTCCTCACCGGATTCTATAAATGTGTTCCGCCCGCTCCTTCCCCATCATCCCTCCCTTACAGGCGAGCCTCTCACTGAGTTTGTCGGCACGCCTTACTACATGGCCCCAGAGGTCCTCACTGGCTACTACAAATGTGCTCCTCCCTCCTCCCCCTGTTCCCTTTCTGCCCTCTCCTCCCCCTTCCTCTAACAGGTGAGCCCCTCACTGAGTTCGTAGGCACGCCCTATTACATGGCCCCAGAGGTCCTCACCGGCCCCCCTCTTGCCTCTTCCTGCCCTCCCCCGAACCACCACCCTTCCTGCCCCCCTTTCCTCCCCCCCATACAGGAGAGCCTCTCACTGAGTTCGTGGGCACGCCCTACTACATGGCTCCAGAGGTCCTCACCGGCTCATACGGCCCCGAATCCGACATCTGGTCGGCGGGGATCGTCCTATATATCATGCTGTGCGGCTTCCCGCCGTTCTGGGCGGCGAGCAACGAGGGCATATTCGACGCGATCCGGCGCAAGGAGGTGCAGTTCAAGTCCGCCAAGTGGCGCACTGTGACTGAGGACGCCAAAGAGCTTATAAGGAGGATACTCGTTAAGGACCCCCGCAAGAGGATATCAGCACTGGAGTTGCTTGGTGAGTTCAATGGGTTGGGCCGATTCGCTTGGTAAGTGGATGGTGGTGCTGCTGGTGCGTGTTTGCCATGTGGGTTGTTACTTGTGTGAGTAAGACCAGTGCGTTGTTACTCTTGCCCTCCCCCTTCCCCCCACGCCCCTTCCTTCTGTCGCCTCACACTCATGCCCTGAAACGTTAATTTCACATCCTTATTCACCGCAAGTGACATTTTTTGCAACGCATGTGTTCGCACCTATGGCTCGTCGCCCACCATCCACCTCAACTTCCATCTGTCTGTTATGCATGGCATGGCATGGCATGGGATGGTACCATATGGGATGGCGTGGCATGGCATGGCATGGCATGACAGGTCATCCATGGATCGTGCAGTACTCTACATAACAACGGAGTTTTTTCTGCATCACAACTTAGTTGAGCTGCACGAACAACAGCAATAGAGGAGCCACGACCACATGACACTCCCCCACATCCCATGGCTGTGCTTATATGAGCAAAAACGAATTACAGTGTACTGTTTGCGACTTACAAGACAGTGCACAGGTAGGACCTGGGAACTTAGCGCATGGCAGACCTTCACCTGAAGCTGACTTGCATGATGGCAGATTGCCAGCATGCGCTCTCAAACCCTAAGGAGTGCTCATTTTGACTCTAGCTTGTTCATTGCCAAATATTCAAGAGGTTGTTATCGCTTAATTTAATTATTCGAATAAAGCAAGCTTGAATAATCTACTATTGAGCAATGTAACAGGAATCTCGATCCCTGTCCCGTCTGCACAGTCCCCCAGCCAATGAGCATCCACACGGATTTCGCTAACCAGGGAACTAGTGATGCCATCGCTTTTCGCGAACTAGCCAGATAAGTTGAACGCGATAAACTGCTCGCTCAGGTCAGGACAGGGCAGGCATTAGAATTGTGGTTGGCAGACCCGTCGCATCGCATGTAGTTGCTGTTTTCAGGTCGGCAGCCACGACACGCGCAAATGCTTTCCTTCCTCGGCAAGCTTTCCGCACTACGTGCTGACGACGTAGAGCAGCACTATCGTAGGGAACTCGCTAACGATCTTTAGGCGCCTCCAAAGTTACCTCGCGCTGCTTGCTCATGCCGTAAACAGCCTTGATATTTCGCCGCCATTTTGTATCCAGCCGCCGTGTCCTGCTCAATCGTACAGCGCAGGTTTCCGGTATCTCCGGAATGATGAGCCGCTGGATTAGCCGTCATGCTGCACAGGATTCGCCGGAATCCGTTTGACATCGCCATCCCAGTGACTTCTGAGTCGACTCAAAAGCCACCTCGTTACATCGCCATCCCAGTGCCTGCAACGAGGAATTGGAACGAAAAGCCGTTTGATCAGAGGCAGTCTGTATTCGCTTTCGCACGGCTTTTCGTATGCTGAGTTTCCATCCTATGATCCCCGCATCCGCCGGAAACTCTTCAATTCTTTGGTAGATACCCACATCCCAAATTTGTTCGGCGAAAATACTAAGTAAACACAATGTCGACACACTGAAACTATGTAGTGCGCACATTGTACTGACGGACTATGTAAGTATAGGTTCTGCGACTTACAAGCTACTCTACACCTGGCAATAAGGTACGTACTATGTGGATACTCAAATTTTGAGTAGAATGTACATTGTGCATATTTCTCATATAGAAAGACCGTACTCATACCATCCTGATACAGTCTGTACGGAGTTCACGCAATGACTCTACTGCTTGAGGAACCTGAAGTCAGTACATTGTACAAACTATGCCCTTATTATGTGAGTACTATGTCCTTATAACGTGACTACGTTATAGGTTTTTCAAGCGCATTGTTGCGATATTTTCTTTTCGTTTCAGGTTCCCGCTTTTCATCATATGGTGAGACATGTCACTGAATCGCATATATTAAACAATATTTACACGATTACACATTTACAGAAACGACGAGGACAGTCTCCACAATAACCATAACACCTATGTGTCTTCACACTAAAGGACTCTCGTACGTGAGTGAACTTGGAAGTGACGAGGTCTCAATCCATCCCTGCAAAAACGGGAAACAAATTTCTACATTAAATAACGTCGCTGGAAAAAGGCTGAAAGTGAAGATAAGTAAATAGGGTATGCTACCTGGACAATCAGGTCGCCGTCAAATCCACGTCGCGTTGCGTATGCGATTTATAGCCACGACAAGAAACCACGTCTACTTAGACAGTGTAGTCGCCTGCAAAACCAGGGGGCGCTAGTGTTGAAAACGGCTCAGATACAGCAAGAAAAGTTGTAGTCATGCTTAAAAACTGTAAGGTTCTGAATGAAGAAACCCGCCAAGAGCGAAGTAGCCGGTTAACCAGGATACATGACAGCAACTAAGGCTGAAAGGATAGGCATAAGGGAAAGACAAGAACTTGAAGCATAATGGAGCTAGGAAAAGGGACTAGGGGCTGAAAAAAACGGTCGTAGTGGAAAACTAACTGGGATGGAAGCAAACCAAGAGACCTAGGAATGAGAGTTGGGTTGGTGCTTGCGTTGGCATATATGGCGTGACTGCTTGCCCGAGATCAGATTGTGATGGAACATCGACCAATCAAAACAAGGCTGCATTATCTGTGCTGCCAAGTCAGTTCATCTTTCGATCCTAACCACCGGTACCTGATCAATCGACGGCTGTTGCATCACGAAGGACCAGGAGTCATAGACGACTGAGATTCCAACTAGACACACCTCACTTGTGATCTTAACCATACAACACCTTTAATATCGACGGCTGAGTATCCAAACTACAATCTGCTGATCGACGGTCGTCATTCCAACTTGGAACAAATATCTCAGGCTCAATCGTCACCGTTCCCAATTGTTAACATCAACGGTCCAGATTCCAACCTGGACAAATTTGGCCATTGACCTGATTGTAATCTTGTCTGTTCATGAGTACTCGCATCGACGGACATCCTTTCTTTAGCTACCACACTCAGACAGTCCGGGTAAACTCGTGAAAAAACCCAACAGCAAATTTTAGTAGATACGAAGTCAGGACACTGTAGCGAGTCGTTTGCCATGGCAAGGTATCTACCGTATCAGCAGCTACAAAGTCGACACCAAGAGAAATATGGTACAGACTGAGATTTTACTTTTGACAAAGTACAATGTGTTGAGTTTATTCGGGGGTATTTGCTGTGTGCGAGGTGGCTATAAAACTACCCTTGTACAACTCATCAACAATGCATCGACTTCGACATTACTTTGTTCCTGGCACCAAGGTGGGTACTTCAACTCCAAATACGACTTCTCTCCCAGAACGATTTTTAGCCGTGGCACGGCTACAACGGCTACGTGCTTTTTAACCTTTTTCCAGACTTTAGTCTTTTCCGAGATTCCATGGCCGACGCGCGGCCAGCTTCCGACGTCAGGCGGCGCCGGTCGGCGCATCGCGGGTACGTGATTAGCGGCTACTTTCAACGCTCTTTGTCTCAAATCGGATCGGTTTATCCTGAGGATGGGAATTCATCTTGAGTTCGCGGAGGTTAACCCTCAAGCGGCTATGCGTAACACGCACGTTGAGAGAGCGGCGTGGAGGTGGGGGAGAAACTATTGAGATTTTTCAAAAGTTTCGTGAGAGGAACTTTTGCGTCGTCCAGTCAAATCGGTGTGCACGTCGCATCTGCCCTTTGACCCTGTGTTCCCACCTGCTATTACAGTCGGCTAGCAGTCAGGATGAACTCTCTGCCGCCGTTATCTCAGTAGTCGCCGACGCCGTCACCTTCCCTTATTGCTTCAGTCTTTCGTTCCTACTCGCTGCCTCACCACTCCTCAGTTCCTCCCCTTGCTCCTTACCTCCACCCTTCTCTCCGCTCCTTACCTCCACCCTCCTCCCCATACGCCTTACCTCTGTCGTTTCTGCTCGACCCCCCCCCAGTCGACCCTATGCAGACGAGAAGGACCGAGACCACGCAGCCAAGCCACGGGACCACCATCACGCGCCTGCCACGTCAGCTGCGGTTCCTGCTGCCACGTCAGTGGGAGGCACTGGAGGCGGGCCATCAGCTGGTGCTGCTGTGGGTCCACCTGGATTTTCGTTCCCTGCCTCCGCTGCCACGTCATCTGCATGTAAGAATAGCGGCAATCAGTCGGATCTATGATTCGCAAAGGCATGTCTTAGAACCAGGGGTTGAAGCTAAGGTGCCTTTACTTGCAGTTGCGGTTTAGGTTTCACGGCCTTATGTGCCTGACTGTCCACACGCTTTCCTGGCCTCGTTTGCGCGCTATTCCTTAATCGGTTCCCAGTCAAATACATTGAGGTCGCAATTGTTTTCAATGTCCCATTCACCCCTTCCTCCCCCTTCCCGGCCCCCTTTTCTCCCCTCCCACATTGATTCAACCTCCCTCTCTTGCTCATTCAACCTCTCCCTCTCGCTTTCACCCTCCTTTTCCCTGCATTTACCCTCCCTTCCTCACATTCACCCTCCCTCCCTCGCGTTCACCCCTCCCCTACGTCCAACACCATTCTATTCGTATCTCCAGCTGCTGGGGTGCGGCCATCGTCCCCCAACGTTCGCCCTCCTTCGCCGCTAACCCAGCAAACCTCTGAGCCGACCACAGCAGGAGCAATGCAAGCAGCCGGCGGTGCAGAGCCGCTGCCACCGAGGTATGCATATGCTGCCCTCCACAGCACAGGTGCTGTGGAGGGCACTCCCCTCTGCTGCGCTCTGCCTGTGGAAGCACTCCCCTCCACAGCACAGGTGCTGAACCGACATCTCTGTTTCCTCACCGCATTTCCCTGATTCCACACTCGGCTCCTGTTAGGATCCCCATCTGCCTCAATCCTGCACCAGACTCAATCCAATCGCATGTGCACTGCACCCGCTCTTGCCCACATCATTTTTCTTCTACGTATCCCAATTCCAATTATCCGATGCTCAACACTTCCCTTACTAGTCCACATCCACCCACCCTCATTCACTCTCTCCTTCATTTCCCGTCTCTCCCCCATTTCTCATCTCTCCCCCAACCCTCCTGTCAGACCTCATTCTGTCTCCACCCAGTCACCTCTGGCACCACTGCCGCCTGCATCAGCTACAACGCCCCAGCAATCCCACCAGCCGCACCAGTCCCAGCAGGCCCACCAAGCACAGCAGCGGCACCAGGAGGAGGTGCAGAATGCTGGCAGCAAAGCGGGCGGCGGTGCAGATAGCAAGGCAGATGGGCGCCACGGGGCACTTCAAGCCGTGCGACTCCATGTTTGGGAACTCCCTCGTTCCTGTTCTTCCGTTTCAACAACCTTAGCAGCATTCCTGGATTCAATGCAGGCCTCTGATTCGCTTGGCGGTACAGGCCACTTCAAGCCTTGCGACTCCATGTTAGAAAATTCCCTCGTTCCTGTTATTCCCACTATTTCCTCCACTTGTCCTCTGACCGATTTGCCCTCTGTGTTGGGCTGATTACTCCAACACTCTGCAAAATCTCAGACCTGACCGTCCCACTCCTCACAGGATACTCCTTGAAACTGATGCAAGTGGGCTTGTTACCATGATTTGCACACACGATACAGTAACATGTTAACTTACATCACCATTATTACATTCCAATATATATTACACTGCACAAGAAGGAACACCGCATTGAATGGGTGTCATGCATTAGGAGGAATGGGAACGGTAGAAACGCCGTGAATCTGAATATTTTTTGTCAGGCTCATATTGGCCATGTTCAGGGGTCCAAACGACTTCCCTCCTTGGGCCCTGAAGTAACACTCTCGCTGGCTGATCTTATTCATTTTAACCAGCTTCAAGTCCATGTTCATGGTGCGGAACTGCCATAACGGGACCGTTGACAGAAGCCGGTTTTTGCTGAATTTCCCCTGTATAATCAGATTCTTCATGATGCGTAGGCGCTGCTGCGGAGTGTAAGAATCCCAGCTTTTCCTCATAAATTGGTTGCCAATATTGGACGGGATGAGGATGGTCGCAGGGCCGTCAAGTGTAATTAGCTTGAATCTCGCTGCAACAAAAGGGAACAGAGACTTTTCAGGACACGGCCAGATTGAAAACAGTCATGCACACAGTCTACAGAAAAAGAAATAGTAAAATTTTAGTCAATTCTTACCTGCAGTGTAAAATCGCTGTGCGAAAACGGAGAAGAACGCGTATTTCTTATCAAGGTCCTTGAGCGCCGCGAGGAGCTCCCACTGAGGCACTCCTTTTTGCACTGCCCTTCTCACCGGCGGCGCCCTCTTGCTCTCTGCTGGCACCACTAGCAGCAACAGAGCCGCCGCGAGCGCGGTGACGAGCAGGCCGAGTATGCGAGGACAAGCCATTGGTAATACTACCGACCGCTTGAGAACGAGTGGTTCGAATGTCAGCAAGCCGCGATGGTATTGATTGGGACGAGAAGGCAGAGGCGTATCAGTATTTCGACTTTGGTGAAGACTAAGATCGCTGGATCAGCTCTTTCGACTGGGGCCAGTGGCAAGCGCCGGAAGGGCTGTGTATGGAAGAAAAAGGGTGGACGGTGGAATGAGAGCAACGATGAGCGTTCTTATGCGAATCCTGCTCACGTGCTGACGTGCTGACGTGGTGACCACTGTGCTTGCAACGAGGAAAACCAGGGTTTCTAAAGGTCTGCGTGAGGAGACACTGAAGCGATGGGGGAGGGACGGTAAGGAGAAGAGAAAACGCCATGATTGAGAAGTTGGAGAGTCGGGTCGGTAGTAAAGTGCTAAAAACACAGGTCCATGCACTGCAGCAGCCTGGATGGCACAGCAGCGGAAGGGACGACAGTGGGACGGCGGAGGTAAGTACCATGGAAACCCTATGGCTCTGTTCTGAAGGCCCTGGCGGTGGGGGTGCGAGGGGAAATAGGTAGCTTCCCCCCACTGTGTTTTTTGGTTCGGAAGGCGGTCAGCCCGCAAAACGTTGCCGAGCCAGCCATTTCCCCCCCGAACCTGTTCGGGGGGAAATGGCTGCAGAACAGCCATTTACCCTCGTGGAGTTTGGCCCATCGGAAGCTACCAACTTCCCCTCCCCACCTTCCTTCTCTGGCAAAAGTCAAGTCACTCGCCCCGCCCTACGAAACCCGCTTTTTCAGGGCGGGGCGAGTGACATGGGAGGGATGTACAAGGGGTGGGGACACCCACCTCCTACCCCAGAAAGACAACCACAAAGGCTGCGCCACCCACCCAGAGAAGCACAACCCGCTCGATGAAAAAAAAAGCCAACCATCTTGCTCGAACAGAAAACCCTAGCCTGCCACTCACAATTCTCTCACAATTCTTGCGCTGAAACCCCTGGTGCAAGATTTTACCCTCCTCTTTAGGTTTGCGCGATTCGATGTACCCCTGCCTATGGGGCGCGAAATTGAGCAGGTAAATGCGTCATTTACCGTCGGCACCTTCCGCCCCTGCTCCCGAAGTTTCCAGATTTCGGTTGTAGCGGGGTGGGGGTGATTTCGACAGGGAAACTGCCCCGGAACCCTCGTCATTTACTCTCGCCCCCCCTCCTCCCCCCCAAGGCATGTGCCTGCAGAACAGAGCATATTCTAGTACCAGAAGGAAGTGTTGGAGAATCGAGTTTTTGCCGCCCCAGCCCTTTGCACACAAGCAGCAGCAAGGGGGAATGTCGGCGATGAATCAGAGCTTCGGGAAGTACTTCGAAAGTTCCACCACCAATCAGATTTCAGCCGAAGACTCGATATAGTTCAAAGCTGCCTTCAAACCGAAGTGTTGGCAGTTTCTACAGGTTTCTACACATCAGAATCAGCTATAACAGAAATATCCAGAGTTTTCTTATTCATGCACCTCATGTGGCACTCAAAGTCACTCAAGGTCCATCCAATCTAGATTGTGCCCAAGTTACCAGGGAAGTTACATTGTCTATCAGCCTAGTTTGAGCTTTCAATCTGTCTTGTTTGTGATGCCTAGAGTTGTGCTTTAGTGGGCTTGTTAATCTTGGACATAGTGAAGTTTTACCTCATCCAGTCAATTCCAGCAGCCCTGCTAAAACTTTCCAGCCAAGTTTCCAGCCCTCCAGTAGTCACAGCTACTCTGTTTTACAAGTTGGTATCAGAGCTTGTCGTTTCGATCAACCTAGCCCACCACGTTCCTATCCTAGCACCATACGAACATGGCGGGAGACAATCCATCTGGTCCTGCACTCCAGCCAGCCGGAGGAGCTTCAGAGTCAACATCAGCAGCTACGGGATTAGTGGAAGCAGTTGCACCAGGCAGTCCTTCAACAACATACTCACCACTCACCTCCTTCATGCCTAAGCTTCACCTCCCCAAGTTCAACGGCAAAGATTTTCCAACATGGGCAACTCAGTTTGAGCTCACTGCATCCCTTCTGGATCTGTGGCCTTACTACACTGGAGAAGCAGCCAAACCAGCAGCAGATGCTTCAGAAGCTGAAAAACGACTTTACGAACGACGCAACAAGGAGGCCTTCCTCTACCTACTCAATAGCATTCACGAGCAGCAGTTGAAGTCGCTCCTGCCCTGTTCTACCAAGGCAAACAGTGCAGAGGAAGCACGGAGCCGACTGAAGACTATGCACCAGTCAAAATCCGAGAGCAGCCAAGCCGAGATGTGGAGCCGCTTCATGAATCTGAAGATGGAAGAAGATGAATCAGCACAAGCCTACCTACAACGAGCTGAAGCAATGCTGGAGGAAGCAGCAGCGATCGGCTTGGAGATTCCAGAGTCTCTTTTCAAGACCGTCATCCTCACCGGCCTTACACCGGAGTGGGACACTTTCCGTGCAACACTACAAGCGCTCCCGCAGTGAATGAAGAGTCGTGCGTTCATCTTTGAGGCCCTTGTCAACGAGCAGCAGAGTCGAGACCTTGCACGGAACAAGCGGAGTGACGAAGGTGCGTGGAGTGCTGCAGCAGCCACAAGATATGGCAACCAATTCCAGAGGCAAGGAAATTTCAGCCCAAACCGCCCTCAACCCTACTACGGTACGAAATTTCAGTCACCTTCCAACCCATACAAACCCTCTCGTTTTCCTCAATCAAGTCCTCCCTATAAGTCCAGTCACTATGTCCAGCCAAGGCCTTCGATTCCCAATCAATACCAGCCTAGGAATGCAAGAGTCAATATGCCAAGAGTCAATCATTTCAGCCAAGCCCCGAATGCAAAAAAGTTTAATTTTGAGTGTTTTTGTTGTCATGAGTGGGGTCACCCGTGGTATGCTTGTCCTAAGAAGCCTCCTAATTGGGTCCCCCCACCTCAGCTACTATCTGAAAAAGGTAAGGCAGCCATAGCAAATATAGCAAGTCATTCTACAAGTCAAGATGAGTCCAAAGAGTCCGATGGTCCTGTCCTTTTTAACGCTGCTACTTGCATGCACGTTTTCTCTACTAGTAGTGAGGAGTTTATTCTTGATAGTGGCTGCTCTGAAACCATGACTCCCTATCAGTCCATTCTCAAGGATTTTCAGCCCTCATATGACTCAAAAGCTGTGACTCTTGCTGATCTTGGCAAAGTACCAATCAAAGGAGTCGGCAAGCTTGAGTTCGAAAAGGATGGTAAGTCATTTTGTGTCAATAAAGCTTCGTTTGTTCCTGATTTAGGAGCAAACTTGCTCTCAGCCGGACAACTCGAAGAGAAAGGTGCCTCCGTTCTCTTGCAAGGGGGGAAAGCCAAAGTGTGGGACAGTGCAGGAAATCTGGTGGCTGAAGGCGAGCGTACCGGGCGGCTCTACAAGATGAAGTTGGAGATTAAGCGCGGTGCTAGCAACACGAAGAACGACGTTGTCTCGCTTCCCGCTGTTTCAACCGATCAAGTCAACAACAAAGGGAGTATCTCCCAAGCTGAGGTATGGCATGCACGCTTGGGGCACTTGGGGATGCAAGCATTCAAAGAGTTAGTAAGTTACAAGAGCGTGGAAGGACTTAATTTGAGTGAAAGTGCAGTCAAGTCTCTTTCTACCGTCCCATGCCCATCTTGTGTCGAAGGTAAGTTAGCAAGAAAGCCATTTTTTCCTTCTAAGTCTCAGTCAAGGGACCTCCTAGAGTTGGTCCACACTGATGTATTCGGCCCCATGCGAGACCCTACTCGAAACGGTAAGAAATATTTGGTGTCTTTCATTGATGACAAGAGTCGTTTCTCGTGGTCCTTTTTCATCAACACCAAGGATGAAGTGCACAAGTGTTTCAAGCAATGGCTAGCACTTGTTGAGAGAGAGTCAGGGAAGA